GGAAGATCGACCTTGTAGGACCAGAACCAAGCAAGGAGTTTTCTACCAATAAAGACTGGAAGAAGCTCCAAGGTATGATAGGATTAACGTCTGTCAAACAGTCAATCAAGGTTTTCATAGACCGCTTACAAAGGAACTATGAGCGAGAAATGAAGGAGCAACCTACTGTCGAATGCTCGTTAAACAAGGTCTTCGTCGGGAACCCTGGAACTGGAAAGACAACAGTTGCTAAACTTTATGGTGGAATTCTTAAGGCTCTAGGTCTCCTAAGCAATGGTGAAGTCATTGTTAAGAACCCATCAGATTTCGTCGGCGCGTACCTTGGTCACTCTGAGAAGAACACCAAAGCTATTCTCGAGTCTACAAAAGGAAAGATTCTCATCATCGATGAAGCATATATGCTTGCCGATGGAAGTTCACACCCTGGAGCTACCAGTGACTCCTTTAAAACGGCAGTCGTAGATACAATCGTCGCTGAAGTTCAAAGTACCGCATTGGAGGACAGGTGCGTCTTGTTGCTTGGATACAAGGAGAAGATGGAAGATATGTTCCAGAAGGTGAATCCAGGTTTAACACGACGATTTCCCATTTCGTCCGGCTTTGACTTTGAGGACTATGATGACGATGAACTTCGACAGATCCTTGATCTCAAATTGAAGGAGCAGGGATTTAGGGCTGGAGAAGCTGCAAAGAGAGTCGTTATTGATGTCCTCAGACGTGCGCGTAATAGACCAAACTTCGGAAACGCGGGTGAAGTCGACATTATCCTCGATAGAGCCAAAGAGAATCAACAAAAACGATTGTCGGCCTCTCCTCAGAAAAAGAACAACGACGTCCTGATCCCTAAGGATATCGACCCCGAGTTCAACAGAGGTGAAAATGAAACCAACATTCGTATGCTTTTCCAAGATGTTATTGGGTGCGACGACATCATCGAACAATTAGAAGGGTATCAACAACAAGTCAGGAATATAAAAATCCTGAATCAAGACCAAGCCGGTCAAGAGTTAGATCCTCGTCAGCAAATCCCCTTTGGATTTCTCTTTCGTGGGCCGCCAGGTAATTTCCTTCTCCTGCAAATGTGTGAACTACTTCTAATCCATACCAGGAACCGGTAAGACTACGACGGCCAGAAGGATGGGTAAGGTATATTATGATATGGGTTTCCTCTCCGATGCTACTGTAGTGGACTGCTCAGCGACGGATTTGATAGGCCAATTCGTTGGCCACACCGGTCCCAAAGTCCAGAAGAAGTTTGACGAAGCCCTCGGAAGGGTGCTCTTCATCGATGAGGCCTATAGGCTCGGCGAAGGTCGCTTCGCCAAAGAAGCAATGGACGAGATTGTTGATTGTCTAACTAAGGAACGGTACCAAAATAAACTTGTAGTCAGTAAGTATAACCCAAGAGTACATATCTTACTACCCCTATTTTCAAATTACATCTTTAAAGACAAGTTTCATCATTACAACACTATGAAATATCAACTATAGCTCAAAAGCTACTTTCAATACCATTATAAACTACAACTACTGACTCTAAATGCCATAGTTCTTGCGGGTTACGACAATGATATTAATCGGCTGATGAACCAGAACCCCGGTCTGACCAGCAGATTCCCAGAGACAATCTGCTTCCCCAATCTTCCGCCGCGCCACTGTCGAGACTTTCTACTACAGTGTCTTCAAAAGAGGAAACTAGACACAAAGGATCTAGAAGCCTCACCTACTCTAGACGGAAAACTATTAAGTTTATTTGGCACGCTTGCATCAACGGCATCTTGGGGTAACGCCCGCGACGTACAAACGCTCGCCAAGTCTATCTTCTCCAAGATCATGAAATCCAAGACCCCCGATCCAAGCCGACTGGTACCCGAAGACACCGTCATAGAGGTTATCAAAGCCATGATCGACGAACGTACCAACCGGGCTAAAACCACCACCACCACCAGCGCCAACCCAGCCCAAATCCCACCTCAACCAGCCCCAGAAGCCACCCAGGATCCGCCGCCGCCGCCAAAGATCTCGACCGCCACCGCCACCGCCACCGCAACCGCAATAGACACGTCCGCGGAGAAAAAGGACGCCGACCCCCCCAAGAAAGACAACGACGGACCAGGAGGCCCGCCGAACAACAACGCCAGCATGCGCGACGCCGGCGTCTCGGACGCGACATGGGAGCAACTGCAGCGGGACAGGGCAGCGTTCGAGCAGCGCCAGCTCGAGCTCGCCGAAGCGAAACGCCAGGCCGAGGAGCTCGAGCGGCAGCTCCGACTACAGGCGGAAGCGTTCAAGCGGGAGCAGGACGAGGCTAAGCGTCGCGAGGAGCTGCGGAAGCTGGAGGAGGCGCGGGTGAGGCACGAGCGGGCGGAACGGGCGCGCCGGGAACAGGAGGAGCGGCTGCGGAAGGAGAAGGCGGTGCAGGAGACGCTTAAGAGGTCCGGGAGGTGCCCGATGGGCTACGATTGGATTCCGCAGGGCGATGGGTATAGGTGTGCGGGGGGCTCGCATTTCATGTCGAATGGGCAGTTGGGGATTTAAGTTGAGCGAAAGGGGGGGGGGGGGGGGTGCTTAGGAGGTGTGTTAGTTAAGAGAGGGGGGGTTGTAGGAGTGCTTTGGGATGACCCCTATTTCGAGGGAAAGGAGGTATTTGACATAGCTATGTTTAATTGGATATAGGGATATGATGATGTATCTTATATAGATATTTGGGAATTCTAGGTATACCCCTAAGTTGGTACTTCAGAAGAATAAGTTTATGATGAATACAGGTTTTCTACGGTCATAATAGGAGGTAGATGTTACAATAGAGTATGAAAGTATCTATACGTTATAAATAGTTGTCTAACTAACTGGATCTTAAGGTGAAGAGACAAAAACCCATGTTCGAATCTTGTCATTGTTAATGTAATTTATCAGGAGAACTGAGAGCTTATTACTAGTTCTAGTTACTACTTGGTAACTCTCTATGAGCTATGTAAGATAATAAACCCTTATATAATAAAGAATAGAGATGAGGGCTATTGTTGGAACATTGTCTAGTTCGCCTAGTTTAAGCTAAGTATTAATTATGCGGGGTGCTGTAGCAGCTTTAATTCAACCGCAAAGACTTTCAAGTCTTGAAATATCTCTGCGATGTCATGTTTAAAGAACTTTTAGCCTTGGTAGCAATGTTGACTACTTCAACATCGAACTTGGATAAGTCATTTATCAGGGTTTCGCCAATGTTACTGCGAACTTGGGGGAAGAAAAGGAGTGTCTGTCATGATGTCTCTTGTCTTGATTTGACTTGTTGATTAACGCTTAATATGATACAGGAGTGGCATGTAAGATTTATCTATCATATGCTGAACCGTAACTTTCTCATATCTCATCACAACTTATTAAATTACAACTTTTATATTCTTGTGAGGAATTCTAGATTTACAATTAGATAGATTTGGCCGAGGCAATTACCGTACCCACACTCTCAACTAAGCAATTATAGTTAGTATATCAATCACAACCCCTCAAAAGACTTCAAGTAGACGAAGCCTAGACAATCTAAAATACTAGTAGTATATCATTCACCGCATAATCATGTAGTAGTTCTAACATTGAATAGATCGACATGGAAAAGCCCAATCCAGTAAAAGTGCCTGGCCTTACTAGAAAATATTTTACAACACTCTTATATGCCTGAATAACCCGTGGATCACATACCTATAATGTCAATACTCTAATAGAAGTTTATATCGCGAACGTGACAGACAAACGTGAGTGACCCAGGTGGAGAGTCATGGGGTCTTAAACCAACACCATCAACAGCATTCGGCACTATAATAAAGCGCGAAAGAATTATGGTCTCGAACTCGAGGTTCCACTCAGGCATCAAATGAAGATATTAGAAATGTTGAATAATGGATATTTTACACGTATGATGCTGCAGAGGAAGTCAGGCATGTCGCCAATAACGCCTGATTTTCTTAAAGCAAGCCAATGCTGGCCAACGCTGGTCAACGCTTAGGGAGTTTGATAGGTCAGAATGGTAGACAAAGACCGTGGAGAGCCCCAGAAGGAACCAGACGATGCATTCAGGGATCCAAGATTGCATATTAGGTTTTTATAACCCTGAACATTTCCTGCCTTACATACATAGGATCCTCATCGAATGTATAAAATTAAGAGGAACTCATCAAGATTGTTTTTTTCGATATATGAGGTATCTACCTACCTATATATATTCTCCTGGAATAGAGCAACATTGGTTACATTTAATTCTCCGAATAACAAATGAAAGGAAGAGAAAGGTAAATTACAGCACGTGAAAATCGAGATCGCGCGACCCCTTAAAAAAAAGGTTGGACCCACAATAAACCCTGGGCACAGACATCATCCCTTGCTCTAGAACCAACAACTAGACCAATCATATCTTGGCATACGAAAATCCCTCCACCTTTTTTGCCAGTTATCGCCAGTTATCGTCATCACCGCCCATTACCAATCGCGTGAACCCATTTGTCGACCTGGGGTCAGTAAATAATAGAAGAAAAAAAAAGAAGAGAGTTGCACACCACCACCACCACCATTACCACCATCAAAGCCTGGTAAAACTTGTTCTTCTTCCCACAAACCAGTCAACCGTGTTATACTTTCTTTCTTCACCAAACAATCCATCTATTATCGCATACATCAGCCAACGCCGTGTTTACCTTTTTTTGCTCTGTTCGTCCTTCGCCACTGTTAGCGTCTTCGTAACCTGTCACTTCTAGCTTTCTCAAATCAAAGTACCTTAGGTACCCTACCCTAGGTACCCAGCTTTAGCTTTAGGGGTTTTTAATAGCGGTGACCCGATTCTCTCAGCGAAGACGAGCCCATCTCAGCTCGTTCCTTCTACCATCGATATTTACTTTTTTTTTTCTTCACAACACAGCTTTTGGTGTCGCACCATCACATTCCTTTTACTGTTTAGAGAAGGGCTAGTCCAGACGAAAAAATACACATATACACACATATTATCAATCATGGACCGAGGTGGTGATTCCGCGTTATTTGACGCTTTACAAGGTACGTAGCTCATTCACCGCGTTTCACGTTCCTTCAGAATAACCTCATTTCCATTCATTCATTCATTCATTTATTCAATCATCCCATTTCCCCCCCTTCCCCCCTCTTCTATTCTTATCCCGTATATATTATTTAACATAGTGTATCTACATACATACACCTACCCTACATACATACATACTCCACAATCTTCATCTCCTAAATATCTATCCGAACAAGCCGCTAACCCCATCCTCCTTCCCCAGGCATCTTGCCCGAACAGACCCTCACCCTCATCCAAGCCCACATGCAGGACCCACAGACCGCCCTCCGAGCCATATGGCAACAGACCACTACCCTCACACAAAAAGCAACCGCGACACTATCACCTGTTCTTGCGCCTCTCGTCCAGCGCGGCATGCAAGCTCTACACGACTCCCCCGACCTAGTCGTCCTCGCCTTCGTGCTAGCTGCCTTCGTACTCGTCATCCAGGTCATATCGTTCGTACACCGCACCATGATGTACGTGACGCGTCTAGCTTTCCGACTTATGGGCTGGGCTCTATTCTTCGCCCTGTTGGCCTTTATATGGCGTCGGGGCCCTGAAGCCACAATCCGAGACGTGGTCGTCTTCGTTAGCAAGCTAGCGGGTTATGCGTCTCTTGTCAAGGATATCTGGTGGTCTGAATACCAGAAGTTCGACGCTCAGACCAAGCGCGGTGGAGCCCCTGCTGGGACCCGAGGAGCACCTTCGGGAGGTTACACTAGGTCGAGAAATAGTGCTTGGTGATGATTTGGGGACTGGGTTAGTGCTATGCGTGTGACTGAAAAATAAAAAGGGGTTGGGGCATCTCGTCGTTTAATGTCTTATCACGGTTTGGGAATGAGTTATGACTACGAATTGCTTTTTCTTTTTTTGTACAGAATGAATAAACAGCATAAACAGTATGTGCCAAATGTACTCGAATTTTTGGTATATCTGAGTTGCCTCAAGCCAGTACGCCGTCGCTATGCAATTACATGTGTCCAACATTGCCCTTCGTGATTAATCCTTATGCCATATTCCTTTTTGATTTATATTTGGGCAAATCCTGTTTATCTGCCACTAAGAAATCACCCATCTATACCATCATCCATATTGTCAAACTCATCATCCTTTAATTCCTTTGGCTCTTGAGCTTCGTGATACTGGATGCAGTCGTCGATATAGCTGAGAATGGCCCCGACGCTATCCTCATCTTGCACATCTAGCTTTAGGTAACTAACCATGCTAAAATTCTCGATCAGGTTTGCGACTGCCCGGTTGAGCTGTCGGAAGCTTGAACCTCGCATGACGGCATCCTTGTCCTGGGGGTTTCCCGCCTCATCTTCCTCTTCTGTCACACCCTCTGCCTTTCGCCGAGCAATATCATCCGGGTCATCGTCTAGTAGGCCAGTATCTGGCGTGAGGAATCGTTTCATATCTTTCTTGCGGACCTGATCTTTTACAAGATCCATTTTAGACAGAATATTGATATGGGGGACCTCTAACATGATCATGGCACTCATAGCGCTCAGAGTACCAGCAAAGAACTTGGCTCTATCCACGATAAAAGTAGCTTCTAAGAGATAGGCAGCACAGAGCCGAATGTCAAGAGAGCCGGATCGTGTCAAGAATCGGACGAGCGCGGGTAAGATAGGAACGTGGGTATAGAGCTCGATCTGGCCGGGCATGTCAAAAATGATGAGGTACTCCTCAGTGAGGGAGTCTAATGCCTCCGTTAGGAAATCGAGATTTTCCATGAGGAATTCGAAGCAGTAGATAAGACCGCCATTTGGGCCAAGGCCCATCTCCTCCATAACATCTTGGAGCGATATTAGATCTTTGATATCTAGATCTGGTGTATGTTCGAAGGACTCGGCGGCAGGATCGAGGTTGACGTAGAAGCACGAGCGACGGTTAAGTTGTAAGTGGGTTATAAGGGAGGCGCAAAAGGTGGACTTTAGACAGTAATGTTAACATTGATCTATTATCCGAACCTCAGATAACATAAAGCTTCAGCAAGCATCTCGACAAGCTCAACAAGCTTCGTGATAGTAAAGAAAGGTTACAAGTGGCGCAAAGAAGAGTCCATCACATACCTTGCCAGCCCCGGCGGGGCCCATTACCATAACTCCGAACTTACTCATGATGTATCACCAAGATTTGTTTAATATCTAGTTAGATGAGATGATTACGTTGCAGCCTAGGCGGATTCGGTTGATCGAATAAAGGAATGACGGAATACCTAGTAGGACTGGATCTAGTATGTAAGTATTCAGCCTCGTCTTGACTGCGGCGTACATAGTAAACACTAGGCGCCAGTCGAGGAATTTTTCTTAGATGGTGGGGTAAAAACGATTAGGTACTGCATGTCGCAAGGTTAAGACAGTGGAGTCAAGGGTCAGGATCGAAGGGTCTAAAATATAGAGTGGGGCCGAGCTGATCAAGTTATCTCGTAAGCTTCCTCTCTTACTGCATAAATAATGGGATGAATTAGGTAGCCTTGCAAGTATAAAAGTATCTTTAGCTTTAGAAGCAATATGGATTTGATAAAACATTTGATAGACATTTGATAAGCATTACCTATTGCTACTACGGTACCTGAAACTAGGTATTTTCTCTCACCGCCTTGACGGAATTTGACTCTAAAATTCCGGAATATGAGCCGCTCCGATTCTATGTAGTGGAATTTACCGCTTCCCGGTAAATTGTTTTACCCTGCACCGTACTAAGATGCCACACTCCCCGAGATGCTACAGAAATATAGGTGGGATACGTACATGTAATACATGTAAGCAAGCTTATAAGACCACCGGTTGCGGACCTTGCTTCTTAGATATAATAACCTAAGGTACGAGAGATAAAGCGAAGGAAAGCTGAGAATCCTTTGCTTAGTAAAGTCGATTTAGTGCTTTACATACTACGCAATAGCTGCAAGGGAAGTTATTGGATATACGATGAACCGGGCTGTATTATATGAATATAAACCTTGCCGGCCGAACACCGAAAGTCTTCGACCGATATTTTTGTCTCATAGACCTTCGAGACTCGAAGACAGGTGCCGAAGTTGGAACCCCTGTCAATCGGTGGGACCTAGTGCACGTTTTCGAGAGGGGCAGACGTGGCAGCCAAGGGTCCCCGAAATGGATCAATGGTAATGGATAATTGAGAATGAGCTTTAGTTTATGGAACTGCCCCGCGTAAAGTAGTACATGCGTTCATTGTCTTCATAGGGGATGCGGTAAGAAGAACGGAGGTAACGGAAGTCGGAAAAAGACCTGGATGGCTCTTACACATCTTATCAATTGTTAGATATTAGAGGTAGGTACTTATCTAACAGCCTATTTATTATCTTAAGAGATATCTAGATAACCTAGTAACTGCTAATTATTACTAGCTCACCTACGAAAGGTTCTTAGCTTTAGTTTTATCGAATTCAAAGGAACATTCCTCAGTTACTACGAAATCCAAGTATATGCTGACAGGATGCGAACGAGCGGCACAAAAGCCTTACATTCTAGAGCTTATGTATAACACTCCCGTTCTATACTCGACGGTCTACTTGGGTAAAGATCGTTCCCAAACCTGACGTAGATACTGCGTGTGCTCGGGACCGCAAAGAGTGTGTGTTGGAAGATAAGCCTACACGTCCACCCGGAGAAATATAAAAAGTTATTGATATCCGATAAGACGGTTACTTTGACATTAGTTATTCTATAAGTGTAGCCAAATCAAATAAAATATCGACTAACCTTACTAAATGGAGTTACTTTATGTAGTTTGGTTAAGATGTATTAGTGAAGTTACTCCGAGTCTTCCTGTAATAAGTATGCTTGTAATGTAATGTTTGTAGGTGTAAGTAACTGGTATACATAATACTTATCTGCGCCCCTCTTACTCCTTCTGAGAAAATTCCTTCGGCTTGCCCCACTCCAGGTACTCTTTCCTTCCTACCAGCAGTCAATCCAGACGCCATGATCCACGGCTCAGGGACAAGAGCGAGCCGCTAATGCTAGGTTTGGTTAAACCCACTAGCTTCGCAGCTTACCATAAGGTATTAAGGTATATAGTGTGTAAAAGTAATGCCTTAGTACATAAGTCTACTTCCTAACATAATCTACCTTAGGTACGGGCATGTATACAATCGGCATATAGTGAAAGCGACAAGCGACAAGCGAACGGATATTGCGCCATTCGAGTTGTTATTTTCAGTTCCTGCCCCTCCGTTTTTTTTTCTCTCACCCAATTAAAAACCCTAAAGGAAAAACTCCCGCTTTCTACTCTTCCCTTCATAAACCTCTCCTTCCCCCCCTCATCCAACCCAACTTTTTATTTCTTCCGAGAGACACTCTTGGGCTACGCATTTTTCTTTGGGTGCATAGAATTAATCAACTCGTACTTCCTTATTTCACACTCTACCGTCACAATGCCTGCTACCAACGGTCATGCTAGCTCCTTGAGCACCCCCCGAAACCCCGGGGCTTTCCTCTTCACCGTAAGTATGAATTATTACATGGCAATTACATGGCATTTCCTCCTCGGCGTTAGCAAGTTCGGGGAATAGTAAACTGATCAATTGTAGTCGGAATCCGTCGGTGAAGGTCACCCCGACAAGATCTGTGATCAGGTCTCCGATGCTATTCTAGACGCCTGCTTGGCGCAAGACCCCCTCTCTAAGGTCGCCTGTGAGTCGGCTACTAAGACCGGTATGATCATGGTATTTGGTGAGATCACGACCAAGGCCAGTATCGACTACCAATCCGTCATCCGAAATGCCATCAAGGAAATCGGATATGACTCTTCCGAGAAGGGTTTCGACTACAAGACCTGCAACGTCCTCGTTGCCATTGAGCAACAGTCCCCCGATATCGCTCAGGGTCTTCACTACGAGAAGGCCCTCGAGGAGTTGGGCGCTGGTGACCAAGGTCTCATGTTTGGCTATGCCACCAACGAAACCCCCGAACTACACCCCCTATCTCACCTTCTCGCCCACAAGCTGAACAAGGCTATGTCTGATGCTCGCCGGGACGGAACTCTCCCTTGGCTCCGACCTGACACCAAGACTCAAATCACCATGGAGTACAAGCACGACGGCGGCGCTGTCGTTCCCCTACGAGTTCACACCGTCGTCATCTCTGCTCAACACAGTGGTGATGTCAACACGGAACAAGTCCGAAAGGAGCTAAAGTCCAAGATCATCGACACTGTCATCCCTAAGCAGTACATTGATGACGAGACTATCCTCCACGTAAGTCTTAAAACCCTAATTCGGCTACTCCGGCTGTCGTCCTCGATTCCGTGTACGCAATACTAACAATTATTACAGCTACAACCCAGTGGTCTTTTCATCATCGGTGGCCCTCAGGGTGACGCCGGTGTTACCGGCCGAAAGATCATCGTTGACACCTACGGTGGATGGGGTGCCCACGGTGGTGGTGCTTTCTCCGGAAAGGACTTCTCCAAGGTCGACCGATCTGCTGCTTACCTTGCTCGATGGGTTGCTAAGTCTCTCGTTGCTGCCGGCCTCGCTAAGCGAGCGCTGGTCCAACTCAGTTACGCTATTGGTGTAGCCGAGCCCTGCTCTATCTACGTCGACTCCTACGGTACTTCTGACAAGACTGCCGAGGAATTAGTCGACATCGTCAAGGCTAACTTTGACCTCCGACCTGGCGCTATCGCCAAGGAACTTAACCTAGTCCGCCCCATCTACAACCAGACAGCCAAGTTCGGTCACTTCGGTACCAACCAGGAATTCACCTGGGAGCAGCCTAAGGCGCTCAAGTTTTAAGCTAATGAATTGTAGAGTTCCGCTGGGGGGATCTTGTCACATTTATAGTAGCGGAAGAATCAACTTCTTTCTGCATTGCGACTGGCGTTGTTGGGTGTGTTATCTAGAAGACATAGGATTCCCTCATCGGAAAATGTCATGAAAATTTTGGGCATGGCAGCATGGCGTACGGTTTCAACATACCTGGTTTGGGCAAAGGCACAGATAAAGTGGCATCCATGGGGCCACCGGTCTGGTAAAGGCGGATAAATACCTTAAACATCCGCATTGCATTTATTCAACACGGCAATACGTCCAAAGGGACAAAAATAAAGATACCAATTTGTCGTACCTCTACAGATATTCGAATTTAGTGAATATTTATTATTTGGTGACGATAATCTATACTTTGTGCTCTCATTATAGAGTTGACGGGACGTCGAATTCCGTTCGTTCAGGAGCAGCATGTCCATCACTACAGTCGCCACTTTAATGATCTGACGTGACTTGTCTATAGAAAACCCTAGCATCATATTATAATAATAACTAGGTGAAACGGCATTATCATATCTGTCCCTAGTTGCCACTGTTCTCTTTCTACGTTGCACTCATGGCCACACATACTCCTCTAACTTGTTTCTCGCTAATGCTGTTTGGTTGTCATCTTCTCTCCTACTGCCGTCGCTACTGATATTGCTACTAGGGTACTCTTCTCTCGTATCTGCATCTCCTTCGCGATCGAAGTAGTCGGTTGAATAAAAGGAGAGTGTTGGCGATGGAGGATACCTCTGTGCGGGAAAAAGTGTGAAAAGGGCTAGGAACTCTTCTTGGAAGCGGTTGGTGCGTAACGGGGAGAGCGGTGGGGAGATAGTGCGGTTTCTGTCGTTGGTGATGGTGGTGGTAGTGGTGTTGAGTATGTGGTTGCTATTTGATGAGGATGGAGAATGTTCCCGTTGTTGGAAGAGATCTGGTCCTCCTGCATCTCTTATTATATGGCTCTCTGTTATATGGTGTTTAAACGGCACCTCGATGACGGCGTCGAGGATACGGATTCTGAAGATGGGGGTTGAGGGTGATGATGTTTCCTTGGTTCTCATGGTTTGGTGTTCTCCGTTGAAATTGGATATAAAGTTTGTTCTAGGGGCAGTGGTTTGTAGTTGATAATTGATATTCGTGATAGATAAACGCTTTCGAAAGTATTCGGCTGTATTAGAGAAGTAGGTAGGGGTTTAAGAAAAGCGTGGATATGTCAGGTAACTAACACATAGGAATAGGACCAACAAAGCCACGACTGTTATATAGAGAAATGGTGATTATTTTTACGTCTGGGGCAGAAATACTCTTATACTACTGACCTTAACCAATACACCGAAGATCGGGTATATATATACAGGTATATGATATAGGTATTACAGCACGGCTCTCACAAAAAAGCCTCAGCTTGTCCGGGAATCTACCCGGGTAACGCCAAGGAGCACCTAGGATATAGACCGGCGATCGATCCCTCCGCTCAAGACATCGCGAGCTATACGGGCCGCCGCGTATACGTATAAGTAGAATACGGACGAATAACACAATAGCTCTACCGCAGCCACAATTCAACACATACCAACCAACCAACCAACCAACCAACCACATAAGCCCAAGATCAGCGTAACGAGGGTGAAAAAAGAAGGCATGGAAAGAGATGGTTTGACACCCCAGTAAAACATAAATCATAAATATGAAAGAGAAAATAACTACATCCAACAGTTTATCAAAATTCCGGAAGCACAATTGTCACCCATCACTCCCCGATCCCCTTGGTCTTTGGTGGCCATACGTGCTCTTCCTCGTAGCCCCATCGGGTTTAGACCAGGTTAAGTGCGAGCCGCGGCGTCCAAAGCGAGCAATACGAAATACGACGCAACCAACCGGCCGGGTATACGGTTGGCTGTATCCATCACCCCAGGGACCTATCACTCCTTTTATGGACAGATACAAACCTATATTTCAACAAGACACAAAGTTTCACATCAGCTAGGACAGTTATTAGGGAAAACAAGCACATTAGACCAGTCAAAACACTGTTTATACACTTGAGACACGCGCTCTAGTAGAACGCGATTTGTCCCTATCTCGCAGCTGAACGGTACGCTCCACACACAAACTCCCCGAATCTTCGACAGAAGCGGCCCTAATTCCCAATTCTATATACCTAGGTAGGTATATAGACATACCCTTTCCACGTACAAACACCAAAACGCCGTCCACTCCACCTATAATATATAGCCTAACCTGAGAGAATAGCTATTATTTCAAGACATCTGAGCCTGAAAAGCACCGTGTGAGCTATATCCCGCGTAGCATATTTTAGGATAGGACAAAACAAATTGGTGGATTAATCATCCTCTATATCATCGTCGCTTAAAACCAATTTCTGTATGGATGGTATCCCCGTGGTAGAAAGGGAAGACACATCGCTCTTTTGCCGTATGCCAAAGGCGACGCTCTTCTTTCGTGGTGATGATTCTTCCGTAGGCTTATCAGTTGCCCATGCTTCTCCCGCCTGCTCCATATTATCATCTCCGTCGAGGGCGTCATCATCCGCTGCCTCTCCAATCCCGGAAAACGAGGTTACCCTTTCAATCTCCTTTAACCGAACATTACCTACTGCGCTTCTACGTCCCCGTGCTATGTGGGCCATATATGGCAGTCGTTCCAGTAACAATTCCCTACGAGCTGAGTTCCCAAGGAAGAGCAACGGGGCTGTCTGTTGGTCTTGGCTCTGTTCGGTTTTTTTGGCTTGTTGGCTGCTATTACGTTGCATAGAAGCCTGGTGTTTACCAATCCAATCTCCACCGCCGCTTGATGCTGACTTAGGCCGTCTAAATGCAGAAGCACCTTGAGTGAGATTCTGACCAGTCTCGTCCCCCTTTAGCAATCTTGATGCCCAGTGGTCTACGACTCCTTCAAGTTCTTCCTTCTCTCGCCATAGCTTGAGACTTGCAGGATAGAACATCTTATAAGCATCACTACCACCGCGTCCGGAGGTCTTCGCGATTCGCTTCACCGGATTTGGTAGAGAAAATAATAATCCTCTTGTCGCGACTTGGAAAGTAATCTCATCTTGTCTTAGCACATGGCCAGCCGAATCTCGTCCCGAGAATGTTGAACTGCCAAATCCACGGCCCCGGAAGAAGATATCCCAAGATGGGGAGAGTAGGTCGCTCTCGGAAAGGAACTCGATGCAATTGTTTACGTAGTCAAGCGAGGAATTAGGATCGGAAAGCCCGCTAGGTTCACAGGACAGGGCGTAATTCTCGTGAAGTGCTGAAATAAATGTGTGCGTATCAGTCCCGGTCTCGTCAATGAGGCTATCGACGGAGACCTCGGATCGTTTTGGCCTAGAATGATGAGCCATAAAGTCAGGTAATATTTCAGCCTGACCCTCGAGAGTTTGCTGGCTCATCGGAAGCTCATCTCTTCTATTGTATACTACCTTTCCGACAGCATGAAATATTCCTAAACTTGCCTCGCGTTGCGAGACAAGCTCTAGACTTTCCACCTCACCCTTAGTTAAAGATACTTCATTCTTAGATCCACGTTTAGGTTTTGTGAAGGCTACCTTTGAGCCCCAGTCCGCATCGTTATCACCTTTGAGGCAAAGAAACTCGAGTGAGGAGATTGCGCTTCTTATATCCCCTATTTCCCCCAGTCTCTTTAGAACAAGCGGGCCCGGCGTCCGACGCCGTCCAGACTTCCGCGCCTCTTTCTGTACGATTAACTCGAGCGCACTCGCGAGGAGAGTAGGCGCAATAGCGTTAAACTCTATAATACAAGAGCCTGGATGTCGAGTGATTTCAGGTCCTAGCAGGCGATGGGCCGTAAAGCTATCCGCAGACGCTGATGTAGTAGTTAGTAGAGTCTCTGATATGATCATAACGATAGGCGTGATGGGGTCTATGGAAGTTGGCCGATCGTAAGTGGCGAGGGATGGCGTATTAGCGGCTAGGTATTGTAAGATAGTATTTCGAAATGTCGTCAAAGCTACTGACGAGCGTGTAAAAGTGTTTGGGAATTCCTCAATGAGAATGATTTTCTTCGTATTATTATCATTATTATCGTTCTTGCCGAGACTCGGGGGAGTCGAGTCAAGATCAGTGTCTAATTGACCGAATTTTCCACTCCTCCCCATGAATTCTTCAAACTGCGCCGAAGCTGACTGGAGCCCTTGATTTGCCCCTAGGGAACCGACGGGGTTTCTCCATTCGAGTAGTTCACAGCGCATGTCTTTAGCAAGGAGTCGAACCGTAGTGGTCTTCCCTGTTCCGGCAGCGCCCTTCAAAATTAAAAGCCGTTGTCGCATTCGTCCGGCCATAACATCTTCAAGCCACCGGCGAACATCTGCTACTTTCCTTTTGTGAACTGCAAGCTCTTCTATATTCGTAGGGCCGAACCGCTCCGACCAGGGCCGTTGTTCATCGCCCGTAGTTGGGTCCTGTTGAGGACGGGGTGGTTTGAGGAATTTTTGGCTCGATGTAATTGCCGGGCCGCTACTTGGTTGAGGCGTATCCCGAAAACGCTTACGGGCGTTCTGCCCAACTCGACTAGTGTTTACCGCCCTGTGTTCACCCACATCGTCATCGTCTGATATCGGATCGCTAATAATATCGTCCCTCTTTGTCGGAGACGCTGTCGGAGCTCTTTGAGCCTGTTTAGAAAACATAGTCACAAGATCCGCCGTCTTCTCTTTCTCGACTCGTTTCCCTTTTGCAAATGGCTGGGCCTTAGGCTTCCCCGGACTCGTACTAAAACCCCGAAATCCATTGTTCCTTTGGTGAAGAGGCATAGAACTCGAGGTCGAGCTCGACGGCTTAGTGGCTAGCAAGCGAGACGACTTCCTTGTAGGACCTGGAGAGGGCGTTGTAGCTCGGGAGGCATCTGTGGTAGAGGCGCACTTTTGAGTAGGCGAGGAAAGAAGGTAATTGGTAAGAGTGTTAGGTTTCGACTTTGGCTCCTCTTCATCGTCTGAAGAGGCATGAACGATGTTTCGCTTCCGACGTTTTGTGGGTGGCGCCATGGCGATAGGGTGGATGTGAGATGCACGGCATCTATTAGTGGGTGTAATTGCTCACATGGAGAATGGAAACGAAGAATGAAGATTTTGTAATATGATTTTGTAATATTATTTTTCGCTCCGCTGCGGAGATTTAACCTTTAAAACTTTAATATCTACCTGGAAAGAACTGGTTTGATTGCTGTCATGGACAAAAAAAAAGATGGTACAACTGAGTTGAAACTTAGGTACCTTCCGTCATTCCCAGCCTAATGGAACCTTTCGTCGCGGGCGGGTTGCTTATGGCGCGTCTCCAGGCGACCTAACCCGCTGTAACTACGATGCGCCATCATGTGATCAATTAAACCTGCATCACGCTATCTGATATGTACAGCTACATGAAGTGCCTTTACCTATTTGTTCTCGCATGTAAGTCGGCCTTAGTATGTACATTCGTGATATAGTCCAGTAATATTTATTTATGCCTTTTTTCTCTTGTTTGATTCTGCTTTAATTACCATAGTTTGTCATTATTTTATTTTATTTTCGATCATTACATTTTAAAATAGTCTCATGTGAGAAGCCCAAGTATAATTGACAAGAATAAGAACATGCCAGCTCGGAGATCAATTTTGTCCATATATCCTCATGATTCATATATATCTCACAGCCCGTACTACAACACAGATATCAAGAGACTCAATATTATGAAAAGGTCCATCCCTGGAAATCATCGGCAAACCGGACGGCCGCAGCCAAATAACGTTCATGTACGTCGCCCCAAGTACGAGCCGCTTCTTTAATAGCACGCACAACTATACAACAAGTTAGTACCTTGGTAACCTATATCGAAATTGATCAAAGGTCTTACCCTTAACAAAATGAGCGTCAGTGGCATAATGTCCATTTAATGCCTTGTCCTCCACATAATTCCACTGCTTCCCAGCAACATCTTCCGGCTTGATGTAGTCAGGATCAATTTTCGGGCGGAGTTCAGCGATATAGACGGCGATTGCGAATAGCCACCATTGCCTAACTAAGTTGATGCGGAATTCCGATGGGATGAATGGAAGCAATATCCTGACGGCATGACTCGTCGTTAGCACATGACAAAGGAAGAAGTTATATGAATGGGTTCCAGGCGGGACTGTGGCAATTAGGATAGCAACCGCAGCCTCCTGCGATTGCTCAAAGTCTTTCACCGGATCATCGAGTGTCCATGCGTTCCAGTACTCCATAACAACATCCTCGTACTTCTTGAATAGCGGCTCAATATTGTCAGGTCCAGGTTCCTTGAAGACTCCGTCCAGACGACTATCACTCCTTAGTTTTAGGAGCAGTTCCAAGGGCGAAGACGGCTTGATCGAGGATGGCTTCGAATATGAAGCATTGTCGATGTACTTATGAAGGAAGTTGTATTGCGTAGCCGCCATGCCAAGGGCCTCCATGGCAACTTCGCGGCTGTCTACCTCATAAGCATATCCCAGATGAATGAGAGGATGTCCAACTAATATAAGTTAGTTTATGCTTATATAAAGTTTTAGGGGTTGAACGTACGGCCTCCGATGAGGCAGTTTACCAAGGGCTCCTTGCCCCCATATATGTACTCTTCTACTACACCTTTCCACTGGTAGTTGTGCCTCAATGCTAGAGAATCTTCGAAGAAATCAACATAAGCACGTTGGTACTCTGGTTCTCCGAGAAAGTCTCTCCAGTCCTCCTGGGCTATTTCAGCTGGCGATTCTTTCCACGACTCAAGATCTTGTGCCTCCACATCGTAGATCTTATGTAATTGCTGAACATCTGCTCCGAGGATATAAGCAGAACCTAGGATATGGGGTAGATGATTATGAAACTCCAAATTGTGGTAGAGAATAGAATGATTGACGTGGTTTGCCCTTAATAGGTGCTTAAGTGTTCTTGGTCGTTTCTCAGGTGCCGTCTCCACATTGTGAACCTCAACAGGTGGGATGTCAATGGTCCGAGTCCGACCTGTATTAGAGACGAGTCGGTTCACAATTGGAACGTAAGAAAGTACAGAAGCCATATTTTATCTTAAATAAATTAAATTAGAGCATCACGATAATTAACTGTCTGAAGGCTAAAGTGGTTGAAGTTGAAGTGACGTAACAATCGAAACAATCGAAAGTGCCACCCGCATGATTTAAAGACGTTATTATATGTAAATATGCATTTAAATGAAGGTTAACGAATGCATATATCGCATTTAAGAAAAGTATTATACAATTAAGAGGTATATTAAATGAGGCTAAAATGTTTTAGCTGAATAATACGCTAAGGAAAAAGTACAAGCCATTGTCGTCTGCAGGGCAGTTGTCTTTAATTAATGTTGGTCTGTGCATCTTCGAAATACTACAAAATGTATCGCGTCCGATCATTTTTTCGAGTATTAACCATTTCCCCGTGTGCAACATGAATGAATCACGTCCGGTTCTTATATACGCCGAACTTCTATCGCGTATACAAGGGGTATCCGTCGGATGCGAGCTTTATACACCAAGCTCACCCGATACTAAAGCCACCATCTCATCTGATGGTTGGTTCTTCACAATTCATCACGATGGCATACAGACTTCCATACATCTCCCCGGGCAAGTCGTCTCAGTTAAGCAACTACCAATACAGAGTATCGGCAAGAAACATCTCTCCTGTCGATTGCCTCTTGCTTCAAGTCTAGAGCGCCATGCATTTTCCACGCCAGGAGAACAAACAGTTCCGTGGTCCGCGACTGATCTTCAACCAGGATCACACATTACTTGTCGAAGATGCCACGCCAACATTGTTGAGCCTGGTTTAATTAAAGTATGGAAAGATTTGCCCAGTGAGAACTGGGCTGAAATGATGGAATTCTGGCATTGCCATAAACCTCATGACCACGGACACGGACACGAACATGATGATGATGGTGTTGCCTCTAAAGCATATGGTGCGAATTCTAGGATATCTGCCCAAGCAGGTGTCGGGTTTGTGGATCTCTCCTCTTTTCTACTATCAGAGACGGATATTTCTGTATCGGCGGTAAGTGTTTTCTTTTTTATTAATTTCTTGAAATGGGTATATAGAAGGTGGCCAGGCTGGCATTTTTGCTCCTCAGTGGCATGGTTACCGATACTCTTACCCTAGAATAACATACTTTCCTATACTGGTATATAAGTGCCGAATCCGAGGTTTTGCCCTAGGGATTTAGCATTGATGTATTAGAGGAATCCCTCTGTTTTCCACCAGGAATTCCCTTGGACGTGGAAATTCCGGGATTAACTAGAGGTACATCTCTTACGCTTCTTAGCTAGATGTTAAACATTTCAATCAAGTGTCTTTTAGGAAGTTTTGCTAATGCAAGCTTCTTTAGATAACAAAAGTTCCATCCTCTTTAGAGTCACGCAGTGAATCAGAAAATCGTGATGAGACACATGAAAATGGAGAACCACATAGTTTACACCCAGACAACATATCCATTTCCTGTGTATCCTGTAAGAATCAGTTAGGAATCCTGAACGAACTGGGAGCTGCCGTTACTCTGTTCAAGTGGCAGGTCTACGTGGATGAGCAGATTTCACAAGGCCCTGATAACTCGCCCAATCTATTCCACTGGGTCAGCTCTATTCTACTTGCGACGATAGCCCGCTCCGGCTGTTCAAAGTCCATCTTACTACCAATGAAACTAAAAGACCAGCCAGTGCAGAATGTTTCCCAAGCAAACGGAACATCCCAGTCTCTATTAAATATCTGGGTATTCAACAACATCTCCTTCTCGTCCACGGGGGAGGGAAGGTCACCGATGAAGGCTATAAAGGTGTTTTATCGCATGGTTAGTCAAGGTGAAGCAGACAAATTACTTGACTCTATGATGTCAGATGTACAAGACATTACCCTACCGGCTGAGGCAATCGAAAAGGTAAAGGATATCCTAAACCGCAACAACTTCTTATTGCCCCAAAGTGACCGTCAATTCAAGGAATGGAAAGTAAGTCTTCTGGAGAAGTGGGAAGGAAAAGACGGGTGAAGACTACTAGATAGGGGCTGAGCTATGTACCTAAGCTTTCGTCTACTTACATGGCATGTATCCCTACACAAGGTATTCGTCATGATCCAAGTTCCATAGGTATGACCTCAATAAGCTACAAAGGACAATCCAATGATTCTAGTTGGTGATGGCACATTCGTGTACGGATATTAATTCACGCTTATCTTATAGAAGAAACGAAGTCAAGAACACTAAGCGAGACTCGAATGAAAGGGGTCTAGAACGCAAGGCTGATTCTTAAATCAGATTAGGGGTAGCTTAAAAATTAAACGACCAGCCCATCTTCACTAATATTCGTTACACAGGAGCAGATGATTCTTCCATTATCGTAATCTATGTTCAAATATTTTCTAAGCTCCCGCACCATGCCTGTATGCAGGACTACCATATTATATGTCACAAAACGTTGCAGAGTCAGTATTGGAAGGATAGTTTCTTTTTGACTAATGCACAAGGTGTTTATAAACACAGGGGGGGACAAAAGAGATCTTTGTCTGCGCCATGGAGTATCTGTCTAAACTGACTTGTCTATTGAGCCTTGGAGGACACAATTCCTGAAAACTTGTTAGCTTGTGCTATAAGACTGTCAATAATACACTTACTCTCTACGTCGGCAACGCTTTGTTGCAGGATTTGTTGAAGAGCCTTAGGGCTCTCGAGCTCCTTCTTCACCCTGGCAATAATCGACTCGGCCAGTTCCCTCTGCTGGCGCTGCTTGACCTGGCCTTCGTATCGTACCCACGAATCCAAAACTGACTTGGCCTCGGCCGCCAGAGCAGTAGACTGCTCGAGCTCATACGCTTGGGCCTCGAGCTTAGCAGTCTCCTTAGAAACCTCGAAGAGAGCCTTGGTGATGTCGACAACACCTCCCATCTGCTGAACGTTCTCGATGCGGTTCTTGACAGCCTGGGTGTGGTCGGCACGCGCGGCGTTCAGGATGTTCTTGATCTTCTCATTCTGTGCCTCGGCCCATTGCTTATACATGGGACCACCATACTTGATCAAAGCACCCCAAACGCTGAGCAAGCAGAAGGCGACAACGGTTTCCTCGTTCACGACGTAGTACTCATTGCTAATGGCGTAGATAGACAGACCAGCGGCGGAGGACAGGATGGCGGTCTTGGAAACGAGGGAATTTCCAGGTAAAGAGTCAATGATAGACTGTGCCTTAACCTTAGGTTCGGGAACATTGGATGCCGGTCGGGTAGCAGTCAATGCGGTAGTGACTGCGGGAAGAGTTCGCGAAGGGACCGACGGCCGTAGACGGGCGGCTCCTACAATTCGCGATAAGTTTTACATGGCCTAATTGGCTTGCTTGTAGCAATGCAAAAACTTACCGAAGGCACGGATAGCCAAGCGGGAGGCCATTGCGAAATTAAATGACAAGAGAAAACGGATTTGGGTGAGAGGAGATGGGAGTAATTATTGCTTGTCTAGAAGAGCTTCGGAATTGAAGTCGATGAGGTTTTAACGAACTTAACGAACTTGCACTTAACCCAATTGAACCCTCAACCCAGTTTCAACCGACTTCCGTGATTGGTCAATCAGGCACGTGATTTATACATTCCTCCCCACTTCAATCTCGATTTTATCACTTTTAGGTCAGCCTTGCATTTGTTCTTTCTCAAGGCTGTTAGCAAATAAACTTTTTTTTTAATCATTTCCTCATTATTCAAATGTCCGCAAAAGCCTAGTTATATAATTCAACTACATAACTACGCGAAAATGTCAGGATCCGTTACTGAGGAGTCCTTGAAGAGGAAGCGATCAGAAGATCCTAAAAAGGCAAATAAACGAGCTAAACCAAAGGATAGCGACGAAAGCGACGAACGCGACGAACATGATCCCCAAGCTGAGATCTTGCAACTCGAAAACGAGATCCTAGAATCCAAGAAGAATTACAATAACATAACAACTCTTCTTGGCCTCGCTCAAAAAGATAACGACGATGATTCTACCCAACTTGCAGTAGTATCTCTGTGTAGAGTATTTCTACGTCTGTTTGCATCAGGAAATATAGCGAGACGGAACGGACAGTCAGAAAAAGATATCGTAGTCGTTCAATGGCTTAAAAAAAGACTCGGTGACTTCAAGCAAATTATCCTCTCAGAATTGGGGCAAGAGGACACCGCGTCTACTGCGTTGACTCTAGCTATGCGCATCTTGCAAGCTGAAGGCAAATATACGAACGATAAGGATGAATACAGTTTTCCAAAAGGCTTCCTTAAAGAAGTGGTGGAAGCACTTATCCTAAGCGAATCTGAAGACATTAGAGAAGAATTCTGCGAGAAGTTTCTAGGCGAGTATGCGGATATACGATTTTACACGTTCAAAGCCTTGAAGTACGTAGTTGACTCCTATTTGACATGTGTGTAGTACTAACATATCTACAGGGATATTCTTTCTGAGGAACCTTTAATATCCTCTAATGAGATACTATTTGATAGCGTGTTCGACTTATTATCCTTCTTTGAAGATGTTCCGACTTCCACTGAAGAAATGGGCGAGTTCTATATTGATGCGCCGAGAAAGAAGTCGCATCCCGTCGCATCCCTGAACCAACAGAAGAAACAAGCCCAAGAAGCTTGGGTAGCACTGCTTGACCTAGGCCTCAACCGAGAGCAAAGGAAAAAGGTGCTTCAAATCATGACCAAGTCCATCGTTCCATGGTTTACTAAACCAGAGCTTCTGATGGACTTCCTGACAGATTCGTATAACTCTGGAGGCGCGATTTCTCTGTTAGCTCTATCAGGAGTTTTCTATCTCATACAAGAGCGAAATCTGGACTATCCGTCGTTCTATCGGAAGTTGTACTCATTATTGGATGCAAATATCCTACATTCGAAACATCGGTCCAGGTTCTTTCGACTGTTGGACACGTTCCTCTCTTCTACGCATCTTCCCGCCGTCCTTGTCGCAAGTTTCATCAAGCGAATTACGAGGCTGTGCCTTAGCGCCCCCCCTGCCGCTATAGTTGTAGTCATACCCTGGATTTATAATCTATTCAAAAAGCACCCGCTTTGCACGTTCATGATGCATCGCGTGCCTAGGTCACCGGAAGAGAAGGAGGCACTGGAAAATGAAGGGATGGCTGACCCGTTCATTGCTGACGAGGAAGACCCAATGGAGACTTGCGCCATCGATAGCTGCTTATGGGAGGTCGTTCAGCTGCAGTCACACTACCACCCGAACGTTGCGACTATCGCGAAAATAGTATCGGAGCAATTCACTAAGCAGTCCTACAACCTTGAGGATTTCTTAGATCATTCGTATAGCAGCGTAAGTCACATGTGCCACCGTCCCACATACTAGTTTTTGTTTTGCTTACGTATTTCTAGCTACTTGATGCGGAGTTATCCAAGCAAGTGAAAAAGGCTCCTGTTGTGGAGTTCATGATACCCAAAAAAGTGTTCCTTCCTCAGGATCTAGACTCGGGGGTAGAGGACAATCTTCTGGCGAAACTCTGGGACTTCCAATGATCGCCGCTTTGACGTCTAGGATAGTCTCGGAGCGTGCGTCACCTAAACCTAGAGTTCTCGGCAGCTACCCTTCTGTTATTGCTAGGTTCGAGATTATCACGGCTATCAATCCAGGGATACTCACGCCATCGATTCGATGGAGAGCCCACCGCGGGTCGATGCTGAGGAGACGGATTCGATCTGGCTACAAAGCCACTCACCGCCTCAACCAACTAAATATATGTCGCCACCGTCGCGGTCCATATTCTCCGCTCGGGATCGCGAGATATTGTTATGAATTTGCCATCGTACTTCGCGGCTTCTTGCGGCTTCGTACTACTATAACCGTATCACTCAAGTACCCTCTAGTGCAAGGTACAGGAATGACAGCCTGCTGCGTACCGTTCGATCTTGAAATTTGCTTCGACGCGCAGCCTCAGAACTCCACTTTGCACTACGTAACGCGAAGTGGAGAAAAACGCTATTTCAGGTGTTCGAGTCGGGAGAAGAACTCGTTTCAGAATGCTGAAGTTCGAAGGAGATAAGTGGTTGAAATGCGCAGGAAGGATTCAACTACATTACTCTCAAAGAAGCTTCCTAGTCTAAAGTCCAGGTCTGCGTGGGCTTTCCCGAACTATCGGAACTACACCGCCATGTTGGCTGAGTCCTAACATGATATTCCTTTAGAGCAAACACAAAGTTCAGTTCAACTTGGCAGAATGAAATAACAATTGCACGAAGACAGCAAGAGAACATCAACGTCGCTCTTCCTTAGTGTGACAAGATTTTTACATAGATGTGACTCATTATTCTCCCCCTTTTAGGCATACTGCAAGCGATTATCGGGGTCCTGGTGGTTGAACGTAATGCCGCATGTGGCTAGTGGAGCCGGACGGTACCTTACTGACGAGTCGCGATGAAGGCTGCAGGTCTCCGATGAAAAGTTAGATCTGAGAAACGGCTGCAAAGTACGTAGGCCGCTAAATAGACCCGATGGCCATTATCATCCTCCAAACACGTCCACATCAGCAGCATAAACAATCGCAGTGAGCAGCTGAACTCTTTGGACAGGCTCGCCCGAGCAGGCTTAGGATCATCTCGAAAATCGACATATTCAAATGTCGATGGCTCCATGGCGCCCTGATTTTGCATCCCTTTGGGCAGAAATGGTGGTTTCGTATTTGACTATCTGCCATAGTACTCCATACTAGGATCGATGATTCCCAAAGCTGGTTGGTCGAAAATGCCACTCACCGCTGCTTACGAACTATCCCTTTTTTGGCATTGGGAATCCCCGACTGGCGCACATGTCTTGCACGGACGAGAGCAGTTAAACTTAGTGTTCTCCATCAACCCCAAATTCGTCCTCTCATCACCTTCAGATCGTACCAGAAGGGGATGTGATCCATCTTATGTGCCTCTGGTCGCATAAAAGCCGGCCCGCTAGGTGTCACAGTAGCTGCATGTATGAAGATGTATGAAGTTCGTGCCTAACCAAGAGCTATTCCAATCTGAGCAAGTGCTCAAGCCTTGAGGTCTCGTCGGTATTCCGGAATAAGAACCACAGTCGGTGTAGATAGTACGATACATTGAGCTCCGGTCCAACCAAGACGGCTTATTTCGTCCACACCGCGTCGCGTCCGCGAGCAGTGGTGAGGTCTCCGGTGCGTCATTGAAGCAGATAAGGCCTAAAAGCTACCGGCGCTCCTTGTTTTGATCTAGAATCGTCCGGTTCATATTCAACCGGTTTGTACTCAGTTTTGCGTATCGCGGGTAGAGCAGAAACGCGATGCGCCAAGCTTGGCCTGGCTCTCAGCCGACCCGCAAGAGCTTGCTTCATTCATAGCCAATCACTCAGACGAGGCGAACGCTTCAGCATGAAGTTGCAGCAGAATACACGTGCGTTGAAACTCTCCCTCGCGCTTCTTTTCCTCGGGTTGAATCGACTAGAGCTGATTGATCATGAAATTTTTTTACTCGTATCATTCAGGCGTCAATTGCATTACATTGTTGTCGCCAACGACTTATTCATCATTTCTCCGGTTGGTTGTCTCGGCTGCAAACACCCTGAGCCCATTACCACCAAACCCGGTTACGGTGGCTCGCAGAAAATATCTACTTGTACCGGTTCTTGATGTTGAAAGGCTGTAGCCAAGATATCGGCCATGCCTATACTCTTCTCAAATTGACCCGTTCCAATCTTTGCCTATAACAGAATCTTGGAATCCATCCTATTAACCGTCCCCATGATACTAGGAGATACTAGGAAAATGTAAAACCTCAAAACGGAGCCTCCACAAGGCTTTCATTAACTAAGCTGGTCGGGGATCTACACCTGTACGTCATCTCAAACCGGACAATTTCCTGTTGGCTACTCTATGTATTCCTTCTGCCGTATACGCGGTGGTGGTGGCTGAGCGTGTTTTGATCGATCATTGTCGTTGCTGGTGTATTCGCGTCTCTCGCGACAGCAGTTCAAGCTAGCATTCGAATTGGTACTAACTCCGAAGAGCTTGGGTTTCCAGAGAATTCTTTCAAAGTGCAATTTTTTTTTTCTTCTTAGCATCTCTCCAACGCTCGATAGCGCACCTGGACCCTGGCTCCGGAAGACCCGCCGGCCAACAGGGGGAGCCATGCCCCATCGTGTCAAATCCGTTAGGAGGAGAACTCGAAGATTTTAGAAGATGGACCCATTGTCTGTGCTTAAGATTCCACGGCTTAATCGTTCTTATTCTTGGCTATTTTTAACGTTATTTGACTAATATCGCCCTCACCGCAAGAATCCCGTGCGTGAACCTACCAACCAAGAAAAACTAGATACACCTTTTCGGACTGGCTCATAATCAGCATGAAAAGCGGACGGGCGAGAGGAACTCATCTGGCCGTCGCCGAACGGAGAACGTCAAATATTCTTCCAAGTAATTGTAGTGACGCTGAGAGGTCGTAACAGAGTTGCCTCCGAGCATGGGTGAGGCAAGATCGGCCCCAGGCTCCCGGTCTCGGTCCAATCTGACACTTGATACTGCCGCCGTCCCGTTCCGAGATCTGAGCATGGTACCGTAGAGGAAGGTGTAGAAAGTGACATAGAGGGGCCCTTCAATGCAACGATCAATGGCTGTACTGTATGTAGTCGTAACTATCTCGTGATCTACTGACAAACTAGGTATGATAAACGGCGCCGCATAGCTTCCTAGCAGTCCTAGGTACAACGCGGTTAGTGTTTGCTTAACATCGAGACGCAGCTGACAGTCATGACATGACTATAAGCTGTAAGAGCCTCGGGTGCACAAAGTATCGGGCTGCAATCTTTATGTTTATGAACCGGCTCTCAGGCGTCTCACGGCTTCAGCACAAACAACAACAGAGAAATCAGTCATAAAATCATGTGACACCAGTCGCACTGAACAGTTGAAGAATTAGTATCCGAGCTCTCAGGTCTCCAGTAGGAGCTCGGGGAAGCACGTCGCGTTTTGTATGGCGCAGCCTCGTCTCTGCGTCTGGATTGTATCTGGACATTCGTCATCTCACAGCGCCCATCGCGTTGAACCGTATCTTTGTATCTTGGGCACGACCCATAGCTACTCCAAAAAACTGCTCTTGACTAATGTACGGCTCGGGAAAGTCTGCTTGGCCGTTCGAAAGCAGGAAGCAGGATACTAGTCTATTGTATCGACAGATCCGGTGGACTCGTAAGTGCAATAGTGCCTAGTAAAAAAAGATCTCTTGTCACCCCACCACGATGTACTGAGCAATGGGATGCCCAAAACGAACTCAGCGTCTTGTTAGTGGGCGCAAAAAGCGTGCTCGTGGGTGCTGAGTGCATGGTTTTAGGTAGCAATTGCACCTAAGGTCATCGATGCCCAACCCAGCAGGGCTAACGACTTCCAGCCTATGATATCCTTAGCTCACTCGTAAAGGGTTACCGGTTCAAGCATCTAGCGTTTCCGCTTCTGGAAGACGATTGGTTTTCGATCTACTCCGGAGCCGTAAGCATAGCAATCCATCTCGATTCTATTTGTCCGATCTACAACGTAGCCAGTCAGAGGATGACTACTAAATCTCCACCGGCGTATATCTACACATTATCATCATGTACGGGCAGATGTACGGGTTCTACAGTTATCCGTCGCCCTACCGTAACTAAAAAGTCCCTAGCTGCAAGACCACTGGCACCTATTCCCAGTGGCTAGAGGCATGGTACAAGATCCCTGACTAACAAGAATGTATAGCTTCCCGTCCTAGGACAAATCCACCCAACCGTATAGCTGGGCTATCTCTCATTGCTCCAAGATGTAAATCTGCTGTTTCACAGACTTTTTGGAGTCAAAAACGGCCGTCTCTCTCCAGTCAGGAAAAAGACGGTGGAGAGATGTTTTCCTTGGCTGAGGATCAACCAGTGGCCCGGAACAGCATCCATCTCGCTACCTACCACACCCCCGTACCGTTACCTACAAGGGGACCATACCCACGTCCTCCCACACACCCTCACCTCACTGCACCGCGAACCCAAGCAAAAGAGATGCCGTTCGTCAGTTGGTAAGTCTCATGGGCTTCCATCTTCCCCACTACAATGCTTAAGTGACTGACCCCCGTCCTGTTAGCACAAGCAAATCCTGACAGTCAAAGAAGGACCTGACCATTTCTTGTTTAAGTACCCAGGCCCTTCCTCCACCCCCCATCATATCGCCCCCCCGATCATAAGGAAATAACTTATAAGAAAACATATTGATTGTTGCTGAGGTTGTGAATCAGGCGATTCCTAACAGCATCTATTACAAACACTTTATCCCCCTCATCTTTACATTCGTTCTGTTTTACATAGTTTTTGTAAGACGAATTCAGGCCGACAATACCTGTACGACACACGAAGATTCATAAGAATATCTCCCAAGCCGAAGAAGTTGTAAGTTGTGTAGTAACACACACTCCCACTCTTTTATTTTTCCCTTCAAATTTTTATTTTTTTTATTCTTTTTTATTTTTTATTTTTTTTAAAAAAAGTTGCCGGACCATCTCTGTTCTCCTACCCTGCAAGTCTCTCCCCCGCCGCCACCATTGCAACCAAATACTACCACCATCTTACTACCACTTACACCTCCAAACCCGACCAACCTCTTATCGCTCCCATTAATCATTGCAACATCCCCCTCCCCCTCTCCATTGTCTCTCTCGCACATACTCCCGCATACATGCACACATACACGGACACCTACACACACATATACTCTTAATCATCGTCTCGAAGCAGCTTGTTGTTCCAACTTGAGACTCGATTTTAAAGAAAGAGGAGACAGAGAATAGTCTATCAACGGCCCACCGCTACTAGTTCTAATCATTCACCGCTCGACGCACTAACCATACATCCCTGCAGAGCAGAATCCAACCTCTTCGACTATTCTATACAACAACCTGCAGAGTTCCTAACTCTCGCTTCTCTTCCAAGACACACACACACACCACATTCACACACACACATAGACCAGCAATGGTCTCAACATTTCAGATGCCGGCCTTCTACCGGTCGAATCACTTATCCGTCGATACCAGCCATGCGCAAAAGTACTTTGATGAAGAGGACAGCAACATCCTCGACGAGAACATCCTAGACAGCAACGCAATGGACTCGGGTCTGGATATGTCGCCGCCCATGGCTGGCAGCAGGAGGGATTCGTTCGCTGTACCCGGCTCGATATTCTCCCCGAAGACGGAAGTGGGAGATTGGCAATCCGTCGACATGCAGTCGGTCCCGTCAAACAACCCCTTCCTAGAGCCCCAGAACAACAACAACCCGTTTACGAGGGCTGACCCGCAAGCCGTATACGGCTCGCAAAATCAGCAATGGCAAATGGGTCAAGGTTCCGGTACATGCACACCCTTACAATACGACAGCCTTGAGAATGCATTCGACAATAACCAATCCATCTTCCAGCAACGACCTCTTCAGATGCAAACGCCCTTCAGCAATCCCGCCCACCAGGTACCGCTCTTCGCTACAGTTGGTCCTAACAATCCTCCCATGCCGAACTCGCCGCAGAAGGATTGGATGGGTCAGGACTTGAAGAACCCCTCGTTAGTCAAGCGCATGCGACCGGATACTCCAACTATCCGATCGCACAACGAGCTGCGTCGCGGTGATGGCATCCGCAAGAAGAATGCCAGGTTTGACATTCCGGCGGAGCGCAATCTCGGCAACATCGACCAGCTTATCGCATCGACTACTGACGAGCAGGAAATCAAGGAACTGAAGCAGCAAAAGCGACTACTTCGCAACCGGCAGGCTGCGCTGGACTCTAGGCAAAGGAAAAAGATGCACACGGAGAGGTTAGAGGATGAAAAGAAACACTTCACTAGTCTCATCAGCTCGATGGAAGAGGAGATGAGCGAGCTTCACATAAAGCTAGACCAGGAGAGGCGCGAGAGGGAGTACTTGGTGGCCCACGTCGAGAACTTGACCTTGGAAAAGGAAGAGTTGATTCGAAACCACACCATCGAGTCCGGCGACTTGCGCAAGAAGATTAGCGTCCTGACCGACCACGTCCAAAGGCTCGAGCACGCCGCTATCCCCAGCAATACGGGCTACTCCAACGGATATAACGATATGGACAGCCTTACTATGGATACGTCTTGGGACAACATGGGCTTCATGAACGAGTTCCAGATGGAACCCGAAGTGAAGCAAGAGCTCCAGATCGTTCCCCAGAAGAAGGCAGACGTCCAGCTCTCATCCGACGGCGAGAAGTCCACCACGCAAGGAGGTCTCTTGTTCATGCTCTTCCTCGTTGGCGCTTTTGTCATCTCCAACAGGTCGGCCCCGACGATCCCCCGCGTCTCGGAGGATGTTCGCGAAGCTTCGACAACGCTTCTCAACAACATCTTCAAGGACGCAGGCGTCGCCAACGCCGAGAGCGCCATCGTACCCTCGGCTCCCCAGCCGTCCGGTGCGGACTGGACCTCAAGCGCTTCGGTCCCGATGGCCAGTGGTGCTATGGAGGGCGTAGCGCCGTCTATGCTTGGTGATCTAGCGGATTCTCTTACCCAACCGACGCAGGAGCAGACGAACGAGCAAATCTTCTCTCTCACACCGGCACAATATAACAGTGTGACGTCGCAAGATTTCCTTCGAACAGCACCGACGCGATCGACGGGTCAGAACCGCCGGAACCTCGCAGACGCACTAAGCAACATGCGCCACGCCGAGAAGCACTCGGCGGCTGAGGTATATACACGATCACTGCTGTGGGATCAGATCCCGGGCGACGTTGTCAGGAACTTTGCCAAGATGGTGGCCGAGTGTAACAACGCGAACGGTGGTCAGAATGGCAACGACGCAAACTCATGACGATTTCACGACATAACGACACATTAACGAAAAGAACGAATTTACTACTACTATTATTACTACCACTACTACTACTATACGGCTTCGAGTCAACAGCCGATTTTTTCTTTTTTTATCGTATTTACAATTTGGATATTTTCGCTTGTTGGTAACTTAAATATCGTACCTTTTTTTTCCAAATGCCATTGTTCATACAGTTTTTACACAGCGCTCCCGCGCATCAAAATCCAGATTCGACGGTGCTCACGCACACCGAAACGACCTACGACGACGTATCATTATCATCATCTACATTATCTACATCATATCATCATCATCTATTTTGTCAATCTCGAATCGAACTTCTCATCATCATCATCATCATTATCAAAGTCATCTTATTGTTTATTTTGTGTCGAAACTTAGCAAGCGAGCCAGCATTCTGATTTAATTTAACCTTCGTCTGTCCCATTATTGAAATAACTTGGTTATTGTTTATTTTTATTTGCACGCCAAATATTCTCTCTCCGTCTCTCTCTCTTTTTTTTATCCGATACATCATCATCGGTTAAAAAAATTTTCACCAGACAACCAACGTACTGCATGGCGAAAATGGGTCGGTCATTGGGGAGCGGGATTGCCTTGGCATGTAAGCCCGGCTGTCGAGGCTACGTATTTTCTTGTACAATGTTCTAAGGGATCATTTGGGAATCGAGGGTAGGGTCAGAAACCCGAAACGGCGAGGTTCTTTCTTCACATATTCGGGTCGCTGGCTTTTCCTTACACTTTCTCTTCGTGCTACCCTCTGGCGAGCGGGCGTAGTCTCATAGACGAGACGGGGACCTTACTGAATAGGTCCGCGCCCAGAGCGGGGTATTTCTTTTCGGGACATTTTTTTTTTTTTAGGAGGGGAAATATGGTTGGGTCTCAGTCTCACGACACGACATAATGGGGGTTGGTCTTAGTTGGGTCACTCAAAGGGGCGGGGCGGTACCGGGGGTGAGCTGACGAGAGCAATGGAAACGGAGACATCTAGCTTTGTTTTTTTTTTTTTTTCCTTTCTTTCCTACATATTTTATTTTCCTAGTATTATTTTTTTTCAATCCCCATGGAAGGGGCGGCAACTCAAGCCAAAGGGCGGTTTATTGGATGTGTGAGACTCATCATACGAGAATGACGAAGATATGTCACGGACAAACAGCACACAGGGGCGGCATGAAGAACAGGCAGCTTACCAGTAGCTGAGAAAGGGACATGTTCTTTTTTTTGGGGGGGGGGGGACAGCATTGCATAGCATAGTAGAGCGATCCATGGTTTGGATCGCACTTATTTGCGGCTGTTCGTCTTGTAACTCATCAGTCAGTTTATTAGCGAAACGTCAAGATGAATATGAAAAACCCCCAAGCAACCAAGCAAAAACACCAGTCCCACCAAGTAAAAACCCTTTTTTTTTCTGCAAATAATGTGACTGACTAGGTACAAATGCAATGATGCCATTTTTCCCTTTTTGTGTTTAGGAATCGTAGTCTGGTAACGAATAAACGAGAGTAACCAAGAAAATAGAACTACTGAACCAACTAACTGACTGACTGACTAACATGAACCCACTAACAAGTAACTACCAGAATAACAAACGAGCTAACCAAAGCACCTTGTTCCCTACCTACACATGCCGAGCATATGCACGATACGGGTACATTAGGTCAGAAATGTCAGATCAGATGGGGGGTGTGGAGGGGGAGGGGGATTAGAAGGGGGGGGAGGGTGTGTGCTTCCACTTGCCTAAAGCGGGTGGTTAGCCAAGTTTTGCGATGACGGTTCGGTTCAGTTCGTCCTTGGGTTGGTCATGTATGGTAGGCTAATGTTTATTTGCTTGGGGCTTGGGGGATTGGGGATATTGAGCGTTTCGCTTTGGCTTTGGCTCTGGCTTTTTTTCCCCACGTATGCGGCCGGGTCGGGGCGCAGCAGCAGCAGCAGCAAGTGACATATTTTATTTTTTTCTCTTTTTTCTTTTCGGATGGCATGGAGGAATTGTATAGGTATTCATTGGAAGTTAAGCGTCTTATTCTATTATAACCTATATTATAATGCTATAATTTATTCCGATTTAAATTCTTACCTTGATGATGATGATGATGATAATGGATATTCATGTAAGTGGATAGGGATATAGGTATGTTAGATACAAATATAGATTATTCACCCCCGCGTCGGGCGTGGAACTAATAGGGAACAAGGGAACGCCCATTACTATGTACAAGGTTAATCCCGTCTGGTTCAGCGTAGCTTTTTCCTTTTTAATGCCAAGTCTGCTGCAGAAGCTCACATGCGCTGCTACTTTTGGGATTCCTATCCGTTTTCTTCATCCACCTTGTCTAGTCTTGTCTGTCTTCCCTTAGTTCCTTCTCTCTCTCTCTCTCTTTTTCTCTTTTCTCGTAAACATTTACGAGCATTACCATTATATACATACAGTAGGTAAAATTAAAAAAGGTTGGGTCGGAAGGCCAGTGGGAGCGGCCGTCACGGCGCATATATATGAGCAGTTCCAAGACAGGAACGCGCAGCGGTAGGTAACGGTGGACGGGCGGGTGTGTAGTAGTTGCGGAGCGCTAACATATAATATATTACGAAGCGGCCGTGTAGGCGGCCCGTTTTGTTAGCCAGTGTGATGTGCAATTACATAGGTACATAACATAGATGATAGAGGTATCAATAATGGTGTAAGTCTTGTATGTCATAATGTCATAGATGTGTATGTATGTCTCACTCCCTACTTACATATATACACACATACACACACATATACACATATATACACATAATATAGAATTGATAGTCTTGTTAGTAATAAATAACAATAGCAACATATCCAAGGAAGAAATCGAAGAAATCGAATTCGCACTCGGCGTGACCTCAATTCATCCCACCACTTACAACTAACCCGACCTACCATATTTCTTCCCCTCGCCCATACACACGGGCCACCCTCACCCATATCTACGTAAATATAGGTACGCGTACGCGCGCCTATACACGCCCACATGCTGTCTCAAACACGGGACCCGGAGGAGCCTGCAGGTTAGTAATGTAGTATGTAGTTAGAGCGAGGTTGAACGTTGTAGCGTGGGAAGCTCGGACTCGTCATAGGGGTGGTTTGGTGGTTGTTCACGCGAGATAGACTAACGGTCCAGACGAGCACGAAGAGGGTGGGTAACCTATAAGGGCTGTTTTGGTCTCGTGGGTTGACAGTTGGCCCTCCTTACCTAACGAGGGCAGACGTATTCCCGTTGGTGGGTATATTCAGGTAGATGGACCTATAGACTTTCCCGTATAGGTTAGGTATCTAATTATTGGTTCGGTAAGGTATGTATACACATATACACATATACACATATACACATAATGTAGCAATGTATGTGAGATCACAAGTAAGATCGGAATACGGATGTTCGCACCTTGTTCATCATCCATCTGCTCTGTCTGCTGCCAATTTTAGTCGACGAGTTTGTTTTGCTTACTCCTCAACCTACATTTGCCATACCTTACTTTACTTTACCTTACCTTACCTTGCCTCCCTCCCTTCCACTAGTAACATACACCATCACCAATAATCGTGTTTATGTATGTGTGCATATGCATACGTACAAGACAAAACTAGACACCAAAATGCAAAGTGCAAAAAAAAAAAAAAAAAAAAAAAGACTATGCATAGGACATCAATATCCAGGCACATGGCTTATAGTGTCTCGCCCTGTGATCTAGGCCCACTCTTAGAATGGCATAGAGAGACATTGCATTGCTCAACGGCAGGCAAACACAACGTACAACAACGCCCCTATTCAACGGTCAATTTCGTCCGACTCATTCGTCGCCAACGACCAGGCAGCCGGGACTTTGACCGTTCGGAGGGGGCGCTGAAGGGAGGGGGGGGGGGAGCACAAAGTACGGCTAGCTGCTTGTATTGGTGCTTGTCTATCGTCCCTTTGCCTACCTATTACTATCGTACCATCATGCCATCGTCCGACCTGCGGCGACCACTCGTTCCTTTCACTCCTGAGTTCTTGTCATACTCGGTCCTTTATTCCTCATCTTCCCCCTTTTCCCCATGGGGTAGGGGGAGATAGATGACTGTCCACTTGTCAAGCCTGAGATCCAAGGGGGCTACTAGTATCACGTATATGAATGTGCGATTAGTAGAAGAGCATAGATTGGCTGTTATGGATTCCCCTTGAGATGAATATCGACTAATAAAACTTGACTGATATGCTAGTGTATATGTAGGAGATAGGTATGTATGTAGGTAGGTAGGTAGATAGGTATGCTTACCGCCAGTTAGCACGAATAGGGGCTTTACATGAATGTTCAGACAAAAGTCCTTCGCTCACCTCACCTCATAACCCTGCCTCCGTAGCAAATGCAAATTAGTCATAAATAACAAAACGTACCACCCACGTAGCTATCCGGCTTTGTTGCCCTTCTGTGTATACGTCGTATTTCCATTTCTACGATCGGCATACCTGACCTGTCACGTAAGTCCCGATGCGCTCCAGAGAAATCTATCACAAACCCGCGAGCCTATCGTCCTACATCCCTTCCCCAAGCACGCAAGGTAAAATATATACCTACCTACATACATACATACATATACACTTACATAGAAAAGCGACAAATCGAATACCGTCGCGCAAGTGACACGGGATCGCCAGACTTATCAGAATCCCACGATACCCAAGGTAGGTAAGGTAAGTTTTGTTATCCCGGCATCCGGTCAAGACGCACGGAACATCATTAGCGGGAAGCTCTGCTGCTACTGTTGCTACTGCTATCTGATCTGCAACGTGCTGCAGAAGAGACAAAAAGAAAGGGGGGGGGGGTCTGATAAGATGGTGGACGATGACGGGTCTGTGATAAGGGGTAGTTACACGCTGTATATATATCTACCTAAGGTATGTACGCACACATTTATATACATACACATACACATATACATGCCTACCTAGGTATATACGTGCGCACGGCAGCAAAAACGGACACTGCGCAGCAGGGACCTTACCCGGACTGCGAGCGAGCGAGGACTTGCGATATGATACGTAAGAATATCGGTAAATGTCTGCCTGAAGTGATGCATAGACTTAAGGTATAGGTAAGTAGGTAAATATGTAAATACTTTAGGTATCTAGGTAGGTATGTATATATGTATGTATATACCTAGGTATGTATGTATATCAGACAGACATACTACGTATGACAAGAAAGAAAGGTCACCCGGGGAAAAAGAAAACCTCGCTGTAAGACGTTTCGCAGCATAGTGCCATCCGGGAAACACGCGGTAGCTATCCGGGCCCGTAGGTTAGGAATTGCTCTACATACATACCTACATACCTACCTACATACAGCAGCAGCAGCAGCAGCAGCAGCGAAGGAAAAGTAAAGGCTCTAGAGTCCGGGGGATAAGAAATGCTATGTAAGAGGTAGACAGACAGGCAGATACCTAGACACCGTTTCTGCGCCCAGTTACACTACCTACAACTTACCTACCTTACAACCTATACTCTCCGCCCCTCGTGTCGCACACGTTGCGAAGATGAGACGAGACGATACGATAGCAAGTAAAGCTAGGTTATGTACCTACATCATAGTAACTCGGGCAATACCTCCCGGGGCGGATTCCATCGGGTAGTCAAGTCAAGTCAAGTCAAGTCAGTCCTATCGAAGTTTGGTAAAGCCAGCTGATTTTGGTTTCGTCCATGACGACGACGATATTCCCTCGAGAGAAAAAAAGCTTAGCCAGCCAGCCAGCCAGTCGGTGCTGACTGTACCCCACGCAAGGGGGGACAGGCAGGACAGCAAAGGAGAGGGAGATAGCCTACTTGGGCTATCTCGTCGCTAACTAGGTACCTAAAGCACTGAGGCTCATTCATCACGGTTACGTGCCTACATCACGATGACCTTATATGTGTATCTCATATATGTATGTAGGTTCTCCAAGCCCAAGAGTCGATGTGCAAGGACCGGTATATTAAGATATATGAAACAAATTGCAGACGGGTTAAATCAGCCGCATATTATTCCCCACACGGGAAAGACGCCTTAAGACAGCCAGCCCCAGATGGAAGTGAGTGCAAAGGGATGGGGAACCGGGGCCACCAGTTTCTCCTCGACGATCGGCTCAAGAACAGTCAAATCGGCCTCGACTGACCGCCAAACAAGCAAAATCAACCTAACCAACCAAACATTCCAATTAATTATCAACCCGCATATCCATCCCTATTGGTAAATTCTAGCTTAGAACGGAGTAAGAGGCGGCTGTTGAGATACCCCAAAGTGCACATTTAGCTATCGAATGCCCAGGTAAAAACCCATAAAACCCGTAAAGCCAAGGCCGATCACAACGATGGCGTATGCAAGAACCAAAAGTATCTGACCATCTTCACACCCCCTTTTTTGTTTTTCTCACTTGCTCATCCTTTCTCGGCGCCCTCCTGCTACATACTATGGTAATGGTAAGACAAGAACAGAATAATAAATATGCATTCCCCCACAATCGTCATTGCATATGCAAAGGTGATGCACAGCATCTCTAGTTGCTACCGGCTGCGGCCATTCTGAAGAAACCCCGCGAATGAAGCAAAAGCAAAAGGGGAACAAATGATAATAAAATCTCCTCTTCCGTTTTTTTCCTCGACGCCTAGGCGGATTCGCTCCCCCTATCGTCATGTTTGCGAGTACTTGTCTCGGTAACCTAACCTACTGCTGAGAAACCCGTATCCATTGCGCTAGGATGTCGTGATAGGGGCTACACGGACTTCTGGGGACAATGTGTATCCAATTGGCGAATAATCATCTCCATCTCTCCATCTCTACTAGCCTATCATACGTAGTGTAGTCATCGTCGGCCCGGGAGGGGGGATACTGCTTATTTCTTCTTGGAGTTCGTAGGATTATACTTGTCCTTCCAAATCCTACACCCCGTGCGTCATTGGTTAGTAAAAATAATGTTACACTGGTAGGTAGATGGGCATATGCTAGAGTATGCTAGAGTATGCTAGATTCGGAGAAGCTCGGCAAAGCGAGACGGAGTGTAGGACAGCGCAGAGAGTGTTAGGGTAGATCAGTGTAAACAAAACCGGACTGCTCCGCTGCAACTGAGGCATTTACATTGGATATGGACGTGGGACGGTAGCAAGCGCCATACGAGGGTAAGAATGGAATTGAGGAAACGAAGAGCGACATTTCCCGGATTCGGTGAAAGATGAGGCTCTGATTCGTTTAGACCCCAACTCGGCGACCCGTTTTCGCGGCCGTCTTTTGATGGAGACGAGCCCAAAAAGAGCAAAAAGCGAACCCTTGTTCTAGACCCGCTCGGAGCCTTGTTGTCAAAAGGGAAAATAAAAAGACAGGGCGAACTTCTGCAAATATGTCCGGAAAGACGGACAGCCTATCGTCTACCCCGAAGACCACTCACCCGCAACGGCCGGGGTCTCGTAGCTTTTGCTGTGCCGCCGACGTACGGGACGAAACAACAAAGGAGAAAGGGTTTGCCAAGAGAAAATAAAGGCTAGTCATACGAGTAGCTTACGAGAAGGGATAATAAATGTGACACTTACCATGTATTTCCTAGCGTTTTATTGCCGTTCTCTTCCGCCAGACGGTAGTACCTTGCTGCAGCATACTAAAGGGGAAGCATACAGTTAGTCTCATGTGATTTTTTTTCTCTCCCTTCCTTCCTTAGGCACGCAGATGGGACGGGATGTTAGGGCGAGTAAGGTACTCCAAGAGCTGTCGCCCCTGGGTGTGCGATTCTGATTTGCGGCTGGAAGCAAGCCTCATTGCTGCCCAACGGGACGAGATCGTGATTTAGGACCGAGCAGCAGGGCCGCTTTAGCTTGCCGCTACTGCTTCGGAGACAAGACATCCTGATCTAACCCCGGAAGCTAAGCGAACGAGCTGACCAGACAAGCCACAAATTTAGGCCACACGAGGCTGACACTTCATCATGCCTAGCTGTCGCTCGCATGGTGTGGTAGTGGTGAGCTTTGGGCAGGGACGTGAGGCGCCGGATTTGGAAGTGATACGTAGCAAAGAGAGGTAATAGATAGACAGCGAGGAGACCTAGCTTCGCGCCTAACGTACCTTGTCTTTCTTGCATCCGAAACCCTCCAGATAGCACCAGGCGACTTCATTCATGGCATCTGCGTACACCGAGGAACATGCCCTTGTCAGCCTATCCCATCACCAAGTCCGTTCACGCAAAGATATTGCCTGCTTTCGACGAGGTCGAACCACTCACCAGTATCTCCAAGGTTGGCCGCTGTTTCGTAGTACTGCCCGACGGTAACCATTAGTCGATTTGATCATCATATGAAAAAAAAAAAAAAAAAAAAAAAAAAAAAACAGCGGGACTTGAGTCGAGGTCTGGCTGGTGGGTACAAGGTGTCGTCCCCTTCTCCTCAGCACTCCTCACCCACTTGACCTCCGTTATGCTTCAATAATGAAACGGTAATGGTGTTGGTGGCCCACCTGCTTAGCAGCGACTGGATCTCGCGGTATGCCCCAGCCGTGGCGGAAGCAATTCGCCAATTCGAAGATGGCCAGGACGAGTTCTCCCTTAGCGGCACCTCCTTTCTTTAGGCCCGCCTGTAGCGCCATGCTCTCGACCGCTGCCGCATTCGACGCTGCCGCCGACAGGTAAGTGATAGCTCGTTCGGGATCTGGATCGCAACCCCAGCCGTGCCTAAAGCTCCGCCAAAGCACGAAGGCAGGATGTTAGCTTTTCCGAACGTACTCTTGTCTTCTTCCGTGGTACTTCGTGTTCGTATGTGAGCAACTTTGCCACCATCGCTCTATTCGCTTGTGTAATCTATCGAGCTACCCATAGCTACCCATAGCTACCCAGAAGCCGTGAATCTCTCTCGCCTTTCCTCTTTTGAGAGATCAGGAAAAGAGATCAGGGGCATTCTTTAGATGGGTCTAGACGTAGCCATGTGCCAGTGAGACACGCATGAGACGCGATGAGATGCGATGCGATGCGGTGCGATGCGGTGCGATGATTCCATAAATAGCAATGAAACGACCATGGTGGCGATCCAACTACTGACCTTAGAGCAAGACCGTAAAGAACCTGGCTTAGGGGATTATTCGCGCCCTGGGGATCGGCCAGACGCCCAAACAGCCGCGTAGACTGGTCGAGCTGCCCATCCTCATGCAATCGGATAGCTTCCTGAATGTTGTCGTCTATCACCTTTGACGAGACCACGCCGTCCGTCTTGTGTCCGTTTCCGTTTCCTCCGTCATCGCGCAGCCGCAGCCCAGCTAATTCTGCCGAGGGAGAAGGAGATGGCGACCGAGACGGCGACACGACACCAGGCGACCTGCTGCCCCGGCGTTGCCCTCTCTCGTTCGCTTCGGCTAATATCGTCGCTCTCTTCTCCCACTGTCCCTCGTATGCGTCCTTGTCTACACCCGCCCCTCCGACTCCTCCTTGGCCGCCACCCGATCCATCTTCGGCCGAGACGTTGATTTGCGGTAGATTTTCGGGCACGTAGTCGGACGTAGGCGGGGCTTTAGACAGGTGCAGACGCTGTGATAGGCGGTGGTGACCACTGGGTTGATTGCGCGAAGAGCCGTCATTTTGAACCGAGGATGTGCTGCTGCCCCGCGATCGCGGCCTGAAGACGTCAAGACTACGGCGCGTCTTCGAAGGGGACGTTACGGCTTCTTTGGCTGTTAGGTAATTGTTATCGCCGTTAGAACTTCTTGGGTAACTCGGAGGATGAATGATCTCTTGAGTGGTTGTATCAGACCGTATGAAGGTAAACTCGGGTCCGGCGAGTCTATCTAAAGTTTCGCGATCTACGCCGCCGCCATGACCACCACCATCTAATTGATCTTTCTTTTTAATAAGATCGCGTATCCCCATGGCTTACCTAATTTAACGCTTTTTATCTTTTTATCTTTTATCTTTTTCTTTCTTTTTCTCAAAGGGTATAAACCAAAGAAAAGTTGTATAGTTATATATATAGTTAAACAAGATAAATCTAGTTTGTAATAGTTGTAATCTACGAATATAGTTGCGGAAGTTGGAAAACAAAAAATAATTAATGGAACCCGATTCCAATTGAAGGCAGTCATTTCCTTCTTTAATAGGCCTCCATTATTCAACTTGTTAGCCCATTCTTTCAGCCCCAGCTTACCCGCCCAGCTTTGAGCAACCTTAAAAACGGGGGCTGTGATTTCCGCTGTTAAATAAAACAGGTAATAACTAAACCGAATAAAACATGCTACCTCTTTCCCCTATTTTGGCCCTTTGAGTAACAAAGGGAAACTACGCCTCTGTTTCAATCCTTGTGCCATGTGCCAAGTTTTGGTAGTACTAACTACATAGTTTCATACTTTCATAGAGCCCCTTCGCCTTGTAGCGCTAAGTTATTGGCGGGGTTAACTACTAGGTACCATAATATAATTATAGAGCTCAAGACTCTAATTATGACCTACCTATTCAAGTCCCATAGCCAAGTCTTATACATAGGCTATCATGAAAGGTCTAGACTTCACATGTGAAAACAATTAAATACCCCTTAATCACTCTCAAGATGTATCATGATTATACAATATGTTTATTTTCTATTGTAATTGACTATCTTTTGTTCTTCTGTTCTTTTTTTTCTTCCACTCAGGGTATCAACTCCTAACCGTCGCCTAAGGCGAAACGCATCGCAATGGGTATCACGAACTGTTGTACGAATAAGGCAACCTTCAAACGCCAACCAATGGCCGTGATATGTGCCGTCTAGATGCTAGCTGAAGAGCCAGAAACCGATTCTAAGAAAGGTATTAACATTGCCTTGGCAATATAGGCTTTGTCCAAACAAGCCATGTCTTCAATGCCTAGATAGTTAGTAGGAAACCGAGAAGGCTTGTTAAAATCCAATGTAATCCCTTTGCTGGACAAAATCGAGGTCCTCTTCGCCATCGTTTTTGATAAACTCCTCGACCTCATCTGAGTCGATGTCATCGCTGTCTGCTGCGGCGTCATCATCGTCGCTAGATACGTCTGTATCCTCAGAAGATGCATGGTTGTTTGCTTTTCGAAGGACACTCGCCCTTTCGATGTGAAGCCGCTTACAACCCTTGAGCTTACATACACCGGTGTTGCTGAAGTCAGGACACTCGAATACATGACGGTCAGGACATTGCGCTCCTTTCTCGCAGTATCCATAAATCCCAAAGGATCGACATACGGGGTCTGTTGGGGAATGTGCCGCATGGATATACGAGCACGAGGTGTTGTGGCAATTGCCCTTGGCGAAATGCACGCAGAGAGGGGTTCTCTCTTCTGTAATGTCATGTGAAAGGTCACAAGCGTCACCTTGTAGACATTTACCCTTTAAAAGATACTCTCGGCAGATGGCCGTCTTGGAAGCATCGTGGATATACCGACATCCAGGGCCTTTCGGGCATGATCCTACAACGAGTCGTTAGTATCTCTACTGGGGGTCTTACCACACCGCAGGTCTCCACGAGTCGCGAGATGGGCTTTTTCGTAGTATGAAGGAAGACGATACCGGTCCATGAAAAGGTCTTGCACTGCTCGTTGACCTTCTTAACTCCGCCAGCAAACCTACCAGCAGTGTTGCGTTAGCAAGAGATTCATATCTACTTAAGAATACATACCGCTGGGCTTTTACGACACCGTGTCTTACAAGGTTGCCGTGCTTAGTACGATGAAATTTGACACCACCGATTGATGTTACTTTGGGGGTAGCCGAAGGGGGGTTTACGTCGTCTAATAATTAATTGTTAGCTATTAAAGGTTGCACCCACCACATCCGTACTGGAAGATGCTTACCGGGCGCTTTCACAAGCTTGCTGCCTTGCTGCACAACTCGAAATAGAATGCCATCCAGCACAACCTCGTATTGGGAAGCTGATGTGGATGAGCTAGGAAGCCCAACGGGTTTACCATTAGCACCACCCTGAATCACACTGTTCATAAAAACAGCCTTCTCGCGGTTGTTCCTTTGAAATTGTTTCTGGCGATGAGTCTGCTCTATGGCACTGGCGCGTTGCTGCGATTCCTTCTCGTATACAGAAGTGTTGATCAGCTGCATATGACGATCGGTCTTCGTGACCCACGACGGAGACGCAGGATCGGAAGTCTCGTTGGTGGCATCACTACTGTCGGCTGCAGGTCGAGATTGTCCATTGAGAACCAGAGTTTTATTACGATAGGTCGGGAGGGGTCTGCCACGTCCGCCACGATAGCCTCCACGAGGATACGGGGCAGTACGATAATGGGATGCTCGGGAAGGGGGGTTAGGATCTTGGGGTATATTAGCATCTCTGAATGATAATAAATAATTGGCGTGATCGAATAAGTTTTCATACCCGAATTCACGCCATCGCGCTGGGCTTTGTGGCGATTAATTTGACCTGGATTTTAAATGAGTAAAATACACTTTAAAATACACTTAGAACATAGATGCCATGGTAAACGTACCAGCTAATTTGCTAATCTTAGCCATTAGCTCTTGATCTTCGGGTGTTGACATGTTTGCGACTAGGTAATGAGACGTAAGTCAAGTACTAGAAGTTAGAGAAAATGCCTTGTCGATCGTAAGGAAATATGCTTCAAGATGAAAAAAGGTGTCGGATAGGTAGAATGGTATGTGGTGTAATAATGTAATAATGTAATGTTTATCTGAAGCGCGACTTCCTTGCTTAGTGGCAAGAAGGGGAGAGAAATCGTTTAGGGTGGAGATCCGCAGTCGCAATGAACAAAGCCGGAATGCCTGAATAACACTGATGGTAATTCTAATTAGGCGTAGTAATAGAATCACGATCAATGAATTTAAAGGACAGTTTATGTCGTCTATGCTTGTGAATAGTGGAGGAAAGCAAACCTTGAACTAATGTCTTGTAACCTAACAAGACTATATCGTGATGTTTTCCGATTGTGTGATGTCTAAGACGTGAATTGCGGCGCAAGGAAGGTTTGGGAGGTTTGGGCGGTTTGGTGGAAAGTAACGGGTTAGGTGGGGCACATTAACCTTATCTAATCAGAATATCGGATCTAAAAGGCACCTACGTAGGTGGTACATAGGTTAGGTACATACCTACATCATAGCTGTACATTCAATTTCAAACTCCTGTATGATTACCTAAGACTAACCTATCAGCTTACTCTACCTAACCTTAGGTACCTATTATCTAAGACTCTTTGAAGACCCACTCAATCAGAACTGCTTGCAGTGGTGGCTGATTTACATCACTACATCATTAAGCTTCTTTTTAGCCTTGACACGAGCCGCGTGCTCAACCCTTTCAACCATCAACATCCAACTATTCCACCCCATCGCACCGCATCGCATCGCATCGCAACCACACGCCACATTTCTGCAGCAATCTAAAATCGAAATCATTGCAGCATACAACACACAATATCATTCGAAAGAGCTAAATCCCCTTCTTGACCCCCTTCCTATTGGATATAGCGGATACAGCCGTCAGCATGGCTGCACCCAGAGTCAAGGCCGAGCAGGGTATCAAGCCTGAGCCTAGCATCAAATCCGAAGTTGATGATGTTGGTCCTTCCCCCGGAGCTATGTCGGAAGATGACATCTACGAAGACGCTGGAGATCTTGAGTTCTACGACCCAAACGATTTGCATGATGGAGCAGTTTATTTGACCCACGTACCAAAATATCTTTACGATGCCTGGGCGAACATGGATGACAATGACGAAATCAGAATTGGCACTCTACGCCAGTGGTCAGAGGTCGGCCCAAAGGGAGAATCAAAGGTGAATTCATATTCATCATTCCGAAACGCCTATAAACCCCAGCTAATCCCGTCATAGCCACGTATAGCTATCCTGTTGGACCATAAACTTGCGCCCCATCAGCAGATCCCCAAAGAATACAATTTAGAGGTTAAGGATATGAGCCTTACCAATACATTTCTATTCACTGAGCAAGATCTTCCTGGCTACAAATCGAAGGCTCAAGGAGCTAATAGCGATATCCCTTCATACATCCGTCCGAAGCCAGAGCGTCCCCAGCAGAACGCGCAGCCAGAGGGTGAAAAGCGTGGCCGCAAAGGCCGATATCAACCCTATTACAGGAAGGCTATTCCCAGTCAGTGACGCATTTCCATCTACCTCAGAATCCAATTTCCGCTTCAGAGCACTAATTGGTTACAGAGAAAACGGTCCTTGCTGGTCGATTCCGCCACGAGCTGAACTGTCGACCGACTTGGACAGAAGAGACTAAGCATTGGCTCAGCATAAGAAATAATGATGCGATGAAACCGAAGGCCACCACCACGCTTACCTCTACCGCAAGACCTACCGGCCTTATCCAAGCTGGCGCGCATGTTTCCAACGATAAATTTAGCAACTTTGTTGTAAGTCTTCTCTTGACACTAATCTCTAACCCCGCCAGTGCGCTAACATTTTCAGCGCACTGGTCCTGATGCCAAGAAGGGAGCCAAGAAGCAGAAGGAAGAAAAAGCTGCTCGTTTACCGAAGAGCGAGCTGCGCGATCGTATCTTCAGATGCTTCGAGCAATTCAACTATTGGTCTATGAAAGCTTTCAAACAGGCACTAAACCAGCCGGAGGCTTGGCTACGAGAGAACTTGGAGGAGGTGGCGATCCTGCATAAGACGGGACGATTTTCCAATCATTGGGAACTGAATTCAGATCACAAGGGAGGACTCAATGTCCTCGAAGCTAACGGCGCTGCACCTGATACTGCTCCCGAAGAGGACGAATCGGAGTCGGACGCGGAGATGGAAGATGTTCTTCCATGATCGGAGCACGGGAGAGAGTCCCGTCGGGAAACATGAGTGACTAAAGGCCGTACGGCAGGGAAAAGGAGTTGCGGCGTCTTTTACGGTTATGATACATACTCAGAGACCTTGTACCATAAATGATACCCTCGGCATCGCACAATCAGGACTGAGGTTTAGTGGTCAGAGTCTGCATAAGTTCAGACTACATGGGATTCAATTACTACTGCGTAATAGGCTTTACAAAGTTTAGATAGGAGGCGACATGTTTGTACATTGATCGATGTGCGAAGTAGCAATCTGTTTCCAGTGTTTTTAATAGTTTGGTTTTTAACATTGTTATAAGCCAGCTTTAGCGAATATTGACTTACTTGACCTATTCATTAGGTAGACAATCATACTAATTGAATTGCTATGTATTCTTTCTTGAGCACATACTTGAACCATGTAATGAATTCACTCGGTCAAGCTATCTTACGTCAAATTAAATATAAGACCCCTTTTTAAGACTCTATGTACTTCCGTACTCCTCATAAGAGATTCCTTACCTAAGGTTAAATACATTAGGGATCTCCACAATTATATTACCTAACTCCAACCAACCAAAGTTGAAATATCAATGACCCCCTTTTCTCCTTTCCCCACTCTTCACCATCCCCCCCTTCGTGTACCTTGTATTCATACCTACCTCATACTGTATCATAATGAGCATCTTCCTAGACTTCGATGGAACGATCACGGTGAAAGACACCGTAGGCGAGTTAGCCAACTTCGCTCTGCGCGTTAGGGCAGACGAGGGCCAGGACCTGCAGAAGGAGTGGGACGCCGTCGTCAACGCCTACGTCGACGACCATAGCGCCCACGTGGACGGGTACCATCCCCAGTCGCATGCGCGCAGTTTGCCCGCTCAGGAGGTGGAGTTTCTGCGGCACATGAAGACGGTCGAGACGCGGTCGCTCGGTCGCATTAATGACTGTCGCCTCTTTAGAGGGATCAGTCCGGCTGCTTTTCGCGAGGCTGGCCGGGACTTGGTTGGCAAGGGCACGATTACGCTCCGGTGCGGGTTTACCCGGTTTGTTCAGGAGAGGCTGAGGCAGGGCTGGCGCGTCTGGGTTCTCTCTGTGAACTGGAGCTCTGCGTTTATCGAGGGCGCGTGCGGCGAGCTGTCTGGCGTTAAGGTCATCGCGAATGATGTGCGCGAAGACGGGTCGGTTGTCGGGCCCCCGATATTGAACTCGGGAGGTGCTGATGGCAGTCATAACGGGGAGCCGAGGAATTTGACGAACTCGCATGATAAGCTAGATGCCATGAAAGCGGTACTTGAAGCTGAGGGGTTGGTTGGGAAACCGTCAGTCTACTTCGGCGATTCAACAACTGATCTAGAGTGCTTGCTCGCTGCTGATATGGGGTTCGTTGTGTCGGATAAAGAAGATTCGTCGCTGTTGAAGACGCTTCGGAGGATAGGGAAAGAGGTGCCTCATGTCCAGGATCAGAGTACGACGAGTAGTCTTGCGTGGACTTCAAATTATAGAGATATACCAGATGACAAGTTTATCCTTAGTTAAGAGAACGAATGAATTGATTTTTTCTGCAGTTGTAGTAGATCTCTACCAGGTTATTCTGTTCAATTTGTTTACTCTCGATTAACGTTTAAGGTCTTTATTTAACAAGTTATTTGACAGGCACGGGTTTATACAAACTAGTATAACATAACAGTCAACATATTCGATCATAGCCTCTTAAGCTCATATTACTTAATATGTTTGACTTTCTCTTTCTTTCTTTCTTTCTTTTTTTACGTTAACTACCTCCTAATATAAACGAGGTACCTGCCTCCTATTGTTGTAACAAAACACGACCTTGTAAATACGCGTCGCCCTCCCGCCATCACACTTATCTCAAGACACAGTTTCAACCATTTTATTTAATTTTCCCCTAGACCTCTTATCTATCAAGCGTGTTAATATAAATTTTCCGTCTTTATCAATCTCTTCTCCTAGTCGTAAGCTAGTAAAGGTATGTAATACCTATGTGTTACAGTTGTAGTTCAAGCCTGGCAATCCAGATCTACCTCCTTTAAAAAATGTTGGTCATTTCTATAGAAGGTGAGTCTAGATCCATCATTTATATGATAAGCAACAGCTTAGCTGAGGGAATTAATCTCGTGTTCTTCAAATAAGGGCAGTCAAATTATAGAAGGCGGGTAGAAAGTCTATAGCTGCAATATGGTGTGCCTATCCTAGTACGCTAGAGCACAGTACTATGCTATAGGTTGGATTCGATAGCAGGTAATCGTAGAAAGAGCCTTAAGATTATCAAAGCGGGAAACTTAAATTTTGAAACAATCAGGCTCCTATATTCCCATTAATTTTACCCCAATTCATGACAATTCTGTCTGGCGCTCTATTGTGGCAATGGGGTTGGTCTTTTTGATTTGCCCCTAAATGGAATCTAAGATAGTGTTATTAGTATTGCGTGCTATTCAAGTCTTCAATTTCGCAATCTCTTCTATAGAGCATCTATTTGCTGGCCCTTCCGTGTCTCGCCTCCTAATAGGTAACTGACCTGGATACTTGAGTATTTTATTTCGAAGTAATGTTCTATCTGAGCCTCAGAAAAAAGCCAGTTAGAAATTATGAAATAAATGCTATTGTAGTTAGACAAATATGACAATAACTATTTGATACTAAGTCATATTCAACTAATATCTTTCACGAGGTTTCTTGTACTTGAAAATGATCTAACAACGACTCATCTAACTTTGAGTATGGCCGAGAGTAAGGCGTGCTTAAGGGGTGATTAGGTGAATACAAAGACTAAGAAAAGTCAGGAAGCCATCCTAACCTTCTAGATCTGAGATATGACCTGGCACATGAGTGGCTCAATGATAGGCAAGAGTTCATCTGATATGAGCTTGACTCAGTCTAAACACACATGTTATTCAATTACTGATAACCTCTCTTAGATATCTATTCAAAACTTGATTGCACGATCGCGGCCATACTATAAGCAACAGTTGTAAAAGTTATTGTACTTTCTCTTCGCCGTACTATCATCATGACCCTAGCTTAATGACACCCTTACACACATTCGGTCTTGTCGTTGGAGATGATTCACGTATCATACATTAGCAGCGTGTTTGACGATGGTGACTACAAACCCTTTGTCAATCCTTCGTCAGACCTTGGTCAACCAAGAGTTCCCAGCACATCTCCTAGAAGGTCTTGAAGTATCTACCAGGTAGGTAGCCATCCTACTTAAACATGCCCATGGCTCTCATCATCCCTCTGCCAACCATCCCAAAAGAACCTTGCCAGCAATATATACTCGAAACCTTCCTTACCTAGCTTAGAAGTATCATGAGTTCCGGCAGCACTGAGTCAATAGTCCCTGACAGGACTGAGCGAGAAGAGCGTCGCGAGAGGTACGAAATGGTAACCCGACCCTCTGGCGTACGCAGAACATGTTATACCGAATATAGCTCACCTTACCCTGATGATATCTCACCTTACCCTGACGATATCCCACCGAGCCAAGGATACGCACCTCCCGGGCCGCCTCCACCATATGTTCCGCCTCCGTACCCTTATCAGTCGAACTATACTCAAACATCACCGGCTGGATCATACTACCCTGACTACTACTCTAACTACTACCCTAACGCTAACTCAAGCCGACAACCTTACCCGGGTCCGCCTCCAGGATATCACGCCCCGAGATCTCGTCCAACTTGGCCCCAATATGCAGTGCCTCCCAGGGTGCCAAATGCTCCCCCGGCTCCTCCCACTCGATCTCCCAGGGTAGTACTAACCCCCCAATACTCTGGGTTCGTAGACCCTAACCCATATATGTACCTTCAACACCACGCCCCGGGAAGCCCATTCGCTAACATTCCCGCTGCGCCAAGGGTCAGCCGCCGGCACACTGAACCAATGGCCCAGGTGAACCTGGACGAACGGCCCGAGACATTGTCATTCTGGACAGAACAAGAGCTCTACCAGCGGATGACCGACACGTTCAGGCCGCTTGTAGGTATCATAGGACGCATCGTCCAGGAGCAGCTACACCTCCAAGAGCAGCCAAAGGTCAAATTCGACATGTACCCAGTAAGAGCCGACGATGTCACCGGTATGCCTTTAATAGTACCACACTCCATGTCGCGCGGCCCCATGTTCCAAATCACGCTGCCGGCTCCCGGCGGCACCAGGGCTGAGCTCGAGAGGGTGCGGGATGCGCTGATCGACGAGTTCGCGACGCACCCCAACGCCTGGCACCGACAGGCCGGATTCGTGTTCCGGATTTCGCGGCGGTTTCGGGTAGGAGCGTGCGCTGCTGCGAAGAGGTCCTGGGTCCCGCCGTCGTGTGTCTATAGATACTCGCGCACCGAGCGGCGCTACGTAGCGCAGTATCTCTCGCCGATCCTGGAGGATATTCGGGAGCTCGATGCGGCTTTTGTCCACGGTGATGATAGCGACGATGATCAGGACGCGCTGGTGAATGATATGTGGAGGGATGTGCGGCGCCGGAGCTACTTTGCATGCAACCAAGATCCTAGTGCATAGTTAGGTAGGTAAGGAATGGACTAAATAGGGGGTAGGGGGGAGATATTGATATAGGAAATCTTGAACTTCGGTTATTGAAGCCAGGGATTTTTTATCCCACCAGGCATACATTTAGTATTGTCTTAGTCGAGACCCTTTCTCGACCAGGATTGTCATCGCGGGGAATTATTAGTTTAGCGATTGTTTTATAGCTGAGAATAACTCAGGAATATAATATTTCTTTTTCTATAAATATGTCTATGTACTTTTGAGTTGAAGTAACCGGAGCTGATTAACGTAGCATGAAAGACAAAGCAAGCCGTATGGTATACACTCCAATAAGCAGAATTAGCCAAGTCTTATAGAGATCTTATGGGATACAAACTAGAAATAGCTTCTGATATGTGTGCTTGCGTACATCAGAATTACATGTGAACATCTTTGTGTGACTTCATGCTGATTACCCTTAAAGATCGAGGATGGTATAAAGGGGCTTATGTGTTAGGCAACTTTAACATTCTTCTAAGCTGCTTTGGACAAGACAATGCATGACATGTTATACCGGAGCCTAAGTTAAATGAACAGGACAAGAGCCTATTGTTATAAACATGAAAGGAAAAAGGCTCTTACAACCCTATTGTCAACTGAGACACATATAATACCTCCCAGCCCAAACTAAATAGTTGTTTTCTAAGCTATACGATAATTAAAGCATAGATAATTCTTAGCCAATGATCATCTCCACTAGAACTTTTGCTCGTAATCAGTAACTCTAGCATTTTTATTGGAGGATGTGTCATCATCGGAAGATTATCTATCAGTGCAACCACACTGCCATGGACCCCTCTCCCCTGAAGGTCTGCGAGGTGCAGCGGGACTACGAGTCGGGGTCAAGTCCGGGGTCATGCGAAGTTGTTGAGACACATGGATTGAGTAACTTCAGAGTTCCTCGTTTTTGCTCACCTTGTCATGACAAGAAGACAAGCCTTGATAGCCGGATTAGCCAGGCAAAGTCGCTGATAGCAGACCTGAAGAAGCAGTTAAGCGAAAGCTACGGCCAGTGTGTATTGCATATGGAAGAGGCTGGCCTGGAATCTGAGAAGAAACAGGAAACTACGCTGGAGGTCTCAAAGGAGGCGACCACTGTAGAGTCGGGTAGTGATGACAACGATCCTGATGAAACAATGGAGAAAATCGACCCTGTCGAGGAGTTCCTAAAGAAGAAGAAACAGGAAAGTTATGCTCATCTCATGATGATCTCGGATTATAAGTGATTAGGTTAAGTCAAGGGTAGGTATACTTCAATAGAATTTGCTTATAAATAGTTAATCCTCCACGCCTTGAAGGACGTAAAATATACCTCTGTATAAACTAGAAGTCTTTATGTGACCTAAAAGCCTTATAAGTATAAAACTCTCTAAGTACTATTTATGAATGTTTCGCGAATCTAGAAGAAAGACTAACGCCTGTTCGTGTACCTTCTAGCAAGTGAACACTATAACTTACCCCCATACACACGTATATATACCTATACAGCCTACTTAATAACCGACTCCTTTCACTACATCATCATCATCATCAGTATCCACCAGCCTTTACCAACATACCTAACAAAAAGCTTCAAAATATCTTCCCTCGAACCACACTATGCCGTCCAAACCAGAGATCAACAACAACAAAATGTCATGCGTAGAGAGAATACAAACCATAGTGAAGTATATCAATTGTGTGCTTATAATAGTAGTAGTCTTCATGGCCGCCCTCTTTTTGCTAGCGCCTCCCCCTTGCCCTACTTGCTCTGTTACGGATTGCAATGCTATAATGGGTCGAGTCATTGACTTATGGACCGAGCACTGGGGAGTTGGAAAGCTATGCAACTGTTTCAACTAAATGAACTGCGATTGGGGGGAATGTTGATACGTATATGACGTCTAGGGGGAGGTTATATACTTGTAATGTTTCATTGTTGAACGCGCTGGCGCGTGAGGATCGTGTACTTACATTATACGAAGTAGTATACTCAAATGCATAATTATCTAGTGCCTCTATTTGGAGTAGGTAGATAAAGGGACACAGGTCTCTTTATCTTAGGGTGGCTTATAGTTAGACATTGAGAATAATGATAATCTCCACTTAACCTTTATCTTTTTATCTTCTACCATCCCGAATCTTGTAGCCGTGTCTTATGAGTATGTCGAAAGTAGAGGAAACTATAGGCATATATTCATCTTCCTATTAGGCCAATAGAGCTCGATATACTTACAATCTAATACATTGGAGAAACAATCATTTTAGAGCTCGTCACTGTCGCTATCTTATGTCTATTAACCTCTAAACCGTAGAATCGGACATGATACGTGAGCACAGATGGGTATATTATCGACTTGTCAATTGATTGTGGTATTGTTCGTTAGCGTCGCGTATATAAGGATATGGGCTCACGTATCATCGCTATGCCCTAGTTATGAAATCCTGTTCTAGACAATTTCTCTAAGCTTGAACCTTGAATGTTCTTCCACTTGCTGTCTTCCTCTCCTTTTCTTCGTTCTCAGGTCGGGCTCTTCGGAGTACTGTGCTGATGATTAGTGTATAAACCCCTTATAATGACGAATACAATCGTACCTTGCAAGAAGTCTGCTGTTCGCCTTCTCATACGGGAGTGAATATACGCCTAGCCATTTCATTAGAAGATCCCATAAGTAGTTGGGACCAGTATCGACGTACCTTGGAGGCTTTAATGTGATAGTGGAAGTAGTCTCGGAAAGTCTGAATGTGAGAGATGACATCGGGCATTCGTTGGGGTGTCAGGTGTCGTGGGAATAAAACTATCGAGGTTAGCAGGGAACTCCGGGGAACCTGCAACATAGAACATACCAAATGTGACATATCCAACTTCGTTACCTTCAGTTGCCTGCACACCAGGAACCCCTTGTAATTCTAGGGGCGGATCATTCCTGAATAGAACTTGGGGTGCATTTTGGATGGCTCTCCTTCGGGCGTCGACGAACTCTTGAATGAAAACCTTCCCAAATACCCTGTCGGTCTCCTCACGGAAGATGGTGCTGAAGATAACAGTTACACGATCGTGGCTTGCCTTGACGTAGATAGCTTCCTCGTCACGGTAGTGGATAGCCATAACCTCACCGCCCTCTCGAACACCTTGGGGTGCTTCTTCTGATGTATACTTCGAAGCATCCTCTTTCAACTTGTAGTGCTCGGCATAAGCATGCTCGAACGGGGCAGCCATTGCGTTCCGCTTTAATAAGGAGATCTTGCTGACCAACTCATCTCGTGCCTCTGCAAAACCCGTTAATACGATCTAAACTAGGTAAGACAGTATTGTATTATGCAATTACCCTTTTCCTCCGGTAGGTTCTCTAAGTCGACTTGGACGGAGAAATCGTAGCCGGTCTCGGGTGCTACGACATAGGGACCATACTCTCGCTGAAGTACCTGTTCGGCACCGTACTTGACGAGATCCCTAAAGCATCGGATTTGAATGGAGACCAATATCTTGGTCTTGGTCTCTGGGGTTGAGATGTGGAAGATTACGCCATCGAAGTCGGAAACGGTCTGGTCAATAGAAGCGGGAGGAGCTCTAAGTACATTATCATATGGTTAGATTAGGGGTGAGATATAATAAATAGTCTTGGTTTTTAAACTTACCCAAATAATCTCTCCTTGAGTATAGACTCTATTAATACGTTCTGATAGTCTAGAAGCAGCATGATGGTTAAATATTGACTTCTTCTACTTGCTTCGTGACGTTTGTGTGGTATGAATCGGGACGTGTAGCTGAATGTATGGAAATATGGAAATATGGAAATACGGGAAAGGTGCAACGAGATTCAATGAGATCAATTCAATGCTGCCTTGGTGGGGCTTAAGTAGTATGCAGTTACGCGATTACGTAGCAAAGCGATAACTTGATTATCCATCTTATCGAAAAAGAAGTTCCGATAAGAAATTCTTATCGCGTATCTCCAGAGAAAAAAAGTTACCGCGATTGAATTTCTTGAGTAGAAGAAGTCAAAACTTCCAAACTCCAATTCCGTCGCAACCATGGTCAAGTCATACTTGTGAGTACCAAGCCATTAATGCGTAGTCGCATATAGATCGCGCTAATGATTATCAAATAATAGGAAGTATGAGTATTCAAAGTCGTTCGGAGTTGTAACTTCTAGTACATCGAACCTCCTTTGGACACAGCAGAACCGCTCCAGTACCGGTGCTGGTCAAGCGCTTGTTGCGGCGAACGAAGAGCTCCTATGCTGGGACATTAAGACGGGAGATGTTGTTGAACGATGGAGAGATGAGAAATGCTCTGCTCAGGTGACTGCCATTGCCCAAAGTCAGATCAATGAAGACCTATTCGCTGCCGGCTACGAGGATGGCAGCGTCCGACTATGGCGGAGCAAAGACCCGAGTCCCTTCATAACATTCAATGGACATCGTTCGGCCATAACAGTCCTAGCGTTCGATCGATCCGGTGTCCGACTTGCGAGTGGTTCGAAAGACACCAATGTTATTATCTGGGATCTGGTCGCAGAAGTCGGCCAGTTCAAGCTACGAGGACATAAGGACCAGATAACGGGACTGCAGTTCGTAGAACCGCAAGAGGAAGTGCAAAAAGGAGAAGATTCTGAGGCCATGGTTCTTGACGGTGTAGGCGACTCTTCGTCCGAAGGCTTCCTGCTTACTACTGGAAAAGATGCGCTGATTAAACTCTGGGATTTGGGGTCGAGGCACTGCATTGAAACGCACATAGCGCAAACTAATGGCGAGTGTTGGGCATTGGGACTTTCTCCAGACTATAGCGGATGCATAACTGCTGGCAATTCTGGCGAACTGAAGGTCTGGGCTCTCGACGCCACTTTGCTCGCCGCGTCGAGACAGAAAGTCGATATTCCTGTTAATACTCAATATCTGCGAGATCGAGGGACCCTATTTCGACATGGAAAAGACAAAGCTACCGAGGTTGTGTTTCACCCCCGCCGGGACTACTTCGCCGTACACGGTTCAGAGAAATCTGTTGAGATATGGAGGATACGCACCGAAGCCGAAATCAAGAAGAGCCTAGCAAGAAAGAAGAAGAGAAGAAGGGAGAAGCTTGCGCAGAAAAAGGGTAGTAACACAAATGGCGACGTCCAAGTAGATGAGGAAGACGACCAGGACGAGGATATTAGCAGTGCTGACATTAACGACGCTTTTGCCCAGCACCTTATCATTCGGACAGGTGGAAAAGTGAAATCTGTCGATTGGGCTGATATTCACGGCAAGAAGAAGCTCCAATTGCTAGTCGGTACAACAAATAACCAGCTGGAAATGTTCAATATGCCTCTAAAAGAGAAGAGTAAAAAGTCAAAGCAGGAAGACATCCCTGATTACGAGAGAGCCTTATCCATTGAGATTCCTGGCCATCGAGCGGATATACGGTCGTTAGCTCTTAGCTCTGACGACAAATGGCTCGCCTCAGCGTCCAACGGAGGCCTCAAGATCTGGTCGATGCTGACACAGAAATGTGGCAAAACCTTGGAGTGCGGGTATGCTCTATGTTGTGCATTCTTACCCGGAGATAAACTTGTCGTCATTGGTACAAAAAGCGGCGACATTGAACTATTCGAAGTGGCTACAGGTACTTTGCTAGATAGCGTTACTGCACACGAAGGCGCGATTTGGTCCTTACAAGTTCATCCGGACGGTAGGTCAATCGTATCTGGAAGTGCGGACAAGTCGGCCAAGTTCTGGAAGGTCCAGGTGGTGCAAGAGGAAGTCCTAGGAACGACTCGGACTACATCACGTTTGAAGTTATCACATTCGCGAACATTAAAGGTTTCAGATGACATCCTAAGCCTTAAGTTTTCACCAGATGCGAGGCTCCTGGCTGTTGCTCTATTGGATAGCACGGTGAAGGTGTTCTTCGTAGACTCCCTCAAATTATATCTCAATCTCTACGGACACAAGCTGCCGGTCCTAGATATGGATATCTCATACGATAGCAAGCTGATTGTTACATGCTCGGCGGATAAGAATATTAGGATATGGGGACTTGATTTCGGAGATTGTCACAAAGCATTGTTGGGACACCAGGACAGTATTCTCCAGGTCAAGTTTCTGCCGAACAACCGCGAAGGCAATGGTCATCACTTCTTTAGTGCTAGTAAAGACCGAACGATAAAATACTGGGATGGCGATAAGTTTGAACAAATACAGCGACTTGATGGTCATCACGGAGAAATATGGGCCCTAGCGATTAGCCAAAGTAGCGAGCCACCATTCATCGTTAGTGCCAGCCACGACAAGAGCATTCGAACCTGGGAAGAAACAGATGAGCAGATATTCCTCGAGGAAGAGAGGGAAAAGGAGATCGAGGAGCTGTATGAGAGCACGTTAACAAAATCCCTAGAGCAAGATCTGGATGCAGACGACGATAACGGGGAGATTGGAGCCGCGACAAAGCAAACATCAGAAACGCTGAACCATGGCGAACGAATCGCGGAGGCATTAGAGCTCGGCATGGCTGATTTGCACGTTATGCGGGAATGGGAAGAGGCCAAAGCGTTAAATCCGAATATTGCGCCACCGCAGCGCGATACGATGTTTTTGGCCCACGGCGGAATTAGTGCTGAAGAATACGTTATGAAGATACTTCAGAGACCGGCAGCATCTGCACTGAACGATGCGCTCCTCGTTCTTCCGTTCGCTTCAGTCCCTATACTCTTCACATTCCTTAACCTTTTCGCTATGAGGTCGATGAACATTCCTCTGACGTGTAGGATCTTGTTCTTCATGCTAAAGACACATCACCGTCAAATAGTAGCCAGCAGGACTATGCGAGTGATGCTAGACGGGATAAGATCAAACCTACGAAAAGCTCTCCAGACACAAAAGGACGAGATGGGGTACAATATAGCAGCACTCAAGATCGCGGGCATGCAGATTCAGGATAAGGGAATTAAAGACTACGTGGACGAAAACTGGGATGACGGGACCGGAGCTCAGAACGTTAAGAAGCGGGCTTTTGTACATGTATCGTGATAGAATTAGACGATGCATTAAGTATCTCTACCTATATATACATGTAACTATGTAGTGTTAGTTATATGTAATGTTTACAGTAGTTATACCAATTTTATAAAAATAGAAAGATCCAAACTTTGTTATTTGGTTGTATGGTTGTATGTACTATGTAACTCGGGATGTCATGTATAAACTTAGGTACCTAATGTACATACAACTTTCAATCAATTTATACCGCGTGCAAACTTAAAAGAGTCGGAACCAATGATATCATCCCTTTCGTATTCTCCCGCATACGCTAGTTCGGCCGAAGGTTGTCTTAGTGTCTTGGCAGGAGACTAGAGCTCTCTCCCTTGTGCTACTTTAGCTACCCCTCCCCCGCAAGAGAGCTCACCTGCAGCAATAGGATGAGAGAGTTAAGTGGAGTCCATTCCGTTACCGCCTGCCGGGTTCGTAGCCGTACCTCGGTATCTCCTGCGACGTCAATTCCTCGTTTTTTTTTTGAATTGGGCGGGTTGATCTTCGTCTCCGATTGGTAATTTACCGATTATCATATTTTACTTTTACTTTTTACTTATTGATGAGATGTGATGGCTTTTGTTTCTTATAGTTAATTATTCTTGTTTTGCTCTTACCACTAGTTACTACGATAGCTATACTTCGATCTAGACCGGATTATAGTGATAATTGAGTAGACAGACAGACAGACAAACAACAATCGATATCCCCTTTCCTTTTCGTCAGCTTCGTGTTAACTTGAATCGCGAGTAAAAACTCGGTAACTCGACCATGGCGGGCAAAGTAAGGCATCCGATCGATACGGCAGCGTTAGAACGTTATATTACTCAGAATGTACCCGAGATCAAGCTACCGCTGGACGTGAAGCAGGTTGGTTAATTTATACTATACAATCTTAATCCCATCATTGAAGCTATATACATAATATATATATATATATCCTTTCGTACCGAATAAACTAACAATACCCAGTTCGGCTTCGGTCAATCCAACCCAACCTACCAACTCACCTCCCCCAACAAAACCCGCTACGTCCTGCGCAAAAAACCCGTCGGCAAACTCCTCTCGCAAGCCGCCCACAAAGTCGAGCGCGAGCACCGCGTCATCGCCGCCCTCCAACACACCCCCGTCCCCGTCCCCCGCGCCTACACCCTCTGCGAAGACCCATCCGTCCTCGGCACGCCCTTCTACATCATGTCCTTCGTCGACGGACGCATCATCCACGACCCAAGCATGCCCGCGCCCCACGCCCAGACCCCCGCCGAGCGCGAAGCCCTCTGGCGCGCCGCCGTCGAGAGCCTAGCCGCCCTGCACAGCGTCGACCCGGATGCCGTAGGCCTGGCCACGTTCGGGAGGAAAGGCGGCTTCTACGCGCGCCAGCTGGCCACCTGGACGCACATCTGCGATATCCAGGCTCGCACTACGGATGTCGATTCCCAGGAGGCGGTGGGCCCGATACCGCATATGGACGAGTTGGTGGCGTTTTTCGCCGACGAGGCGCTGCGGCCGCGCGACAGGGCTACGCTCGTGCACGGCGACTACAAGATCGACAACGTGGTGTTTGCGCCCGGGGAGCCGCGCGTGGCGGGCATTTTGGACTGGGAGATGAGCACGATTGGACACCCGCTGTCGGACCTGGCCAACCTGCTGAACCCCTTTTACCTTGTTTCGTTATCGCAGTTGCCGACTTTTGCCCCGTCGTCATCGTCGTCTTCTTCTTCTTCGAAAGACGGGGTTCCGAGTCAGAGCGAGGCTATAGCAGCTATAACCAACGCCGGTTTCCTCCCCGGCGCCACGCCCGGCCTTCCTACCCCCGCCGCGGTGTTATCTTGGTACGCGGCGGCCGCGGGCTGGGATCCACGACCCGACGAAGTAGCTTGGGCCTGCGCGTTCAGCGTGTTCCGGCTCGCGGCCATCTGCCAGGGTATCGCGGCGCGTGTCGCTACGCGTCAGGCCAGTAGTGCCGATGCTCGTCGACACGCTGCTGCTGTACGACCGCTCGGCGAGTTTGCGTGGGAGCTGGTGAGGAAGGAGAAGGAGAGGCGGAAAGCTACGTCTGGTAGTGGCGCGAAGCTATGATAGACCTCTACCATCGTCATGTTTTTGTCACTCTCGTTGCGTTGCTACATAAGCCTTTGAATCTAAAGTGAAGGATTTGGCTAGACGGAAGTAAGAAGTTTTACGTCTTGCTGGAAACTTCTGAACAAGTGTGAGATTACTTAGGCCGGAGAATATGAGTTACGATCACAAAATCAGCATTCTTCTCGTGTATTATATACCCAAGTTAAGCCAACATATTTGTATGTGTTTTCAATAAGTCATTACTTATTAAACGAATCGATAGTATTGAATACTTGCCTACGTCAGATAGTAACTATACAATGATAAGTAGAACAAGAATCTAAGCAAACTCTCATAAGCTCATGAGCATATATAACCCCCTTTCGAAGGATTACTTTTCCATACAGCAACAGGTCATTACATCACATTACACAACACAAGCACATCAAAACATCGCAAGCTATCAAAGCACGTCGCTCAATTACAGCCTATTTGGCTATCTGAATTAATGAGTATAGTTAACCCTTCACCGCAAATCTGCTTCAGGACGGGGAGTCAAATATATGCATTCATGAAGAAGCCATATCGCCTTGAGGCCGAATAGAAATCCCTATCAAGTTTTTGTTTCGGGGGAGGAGACTTCCCAGTCTAATAACCGTCTCCTAGAAGTGAATTTCATGCCTGTCGTCAAATCCGGCGGCCCGCTGAAATCGAAACCGTCCGTGCTGAATGGGAAGAAAATATCATGGTGAACCTGATCTGCGTATCGTGCGTAAAACTTATAGCCGCCCTATCCGTCCCCCTAAAACCTCGCCCCCCTTCCCCTAACGCCTAGCAAAATATGTCCCCTGAGTTGAGTAGAAGAAGTGTCTGTAAAATAACTGCCCTCGCGAAATCCTCAAATCAACCTGCGAATCGTGCCAAACCACCGAGATGCCGTGTGCGGAAAATAAAGAAAATTGATGCAGATCTCTATGTGGATTACCTGCTCCATAAGACCTCGCATGCACGAATGAAAAAGAAGAAATAACAACTTAGAAGCACCATATTGTTGCTTCCCCTATCGCCTGTTATCGGAACGCACAATTCGTCCTAGTCTATTACGTTGCAGTAGATACTGAGAACTCTGTGTTGCTCGCGTCATATGTAGAGGTATTGACATCGGGTTTCGGTGATAGTGAATGGTAGGTTGTAATCCAGGGGAATTTAGGTCCGGGTTTCCCATCGCGTATCCCTATGACTGCTGGTGAGAGATAGCCCCTCCGTAGATAGTCTCGTCGGCATTAGACATGTAGACTTCTGGGCCTGCATATGTCGGGGACATCGGCGAGGCATGCTGTGAGCGCATATGGGGTAGTGGGGTATACTCATCCACATTACTACCAGAACCTCCCATAATTAATGGGTTCAGATACGGCTCGGTCGGTGCTCCTCCCATCTGTGGCGGAAATTGGAAAGCAGGGACATTAGTATCAAATGTCGGTCGGGTAGTTGTGTTCGACGAAGATACAGAATGCTGGCGATTGTGTGAATGGTTCGCATTCGGTCTGCTAAGCCAGGGGTACTGCTGCAGCGAATTGTTAGTAAAATTTACTTCCTCCCGCAAGGCTTCGAGGAATGCAAGCTAAGAATTACGAACCTGAGCTGGGGCGGCACCGTTTGATGAGAAATGCGGCCGTCCAGAGGGGAATCCTCTCAAGCTTCCGTGGCGAGGACGCACTCTACGTCTGCCGTCGCTAGCCTCGCTAAACGGAAGCGGAGAGTGACGATCCCCGAAATTGCCATGCCATGCTGGTGTTCGAGAATTATACATCGACGGATTGTCTTGTCTTCTAGCCGGAGCACCATTTAATGCAGCATAGTCGAGTTCTGGGAACGGGCTATACCATGTGTTAGTATAGGGGCATAACACCATAAAAGAATTACAAATACCTCGAAGCTAAAGTTGCTAAACCGCCTAGCGTATTTTCAGCAGGTCGCCCGAGCGAATCTTGCTCGCTACGTTCGTGCTCCCGGGGGCTCCGGTTCTGCATCTGCATCTGCATCGCCACCTGGTGGTGCTGGCGTAAGAATCGATAGACGTTATGAGCATTCATCGCGTTTCGATATTGAGGTTCCGATGGGACTTTATCCCTACAGTAGGGGCAGCTATCCGATTCTTCAAACCACTTCTTGATGCAATGGTCTCCGAAGACGTGCTTACACTTTGGCAGCCGCAGCGGGTTTTCACTGATGCCTTCGGGAGTCTCGGCTCCATAGTCGTTATAGCAGATCACGCAGGCTAAATACCATTAGCTATAATTACACGACAACGGGCTGGACATCACAACTCACTCCTCTCATTTTCCGGTAAATGCGAAATTGCCACGCTCTCAAGTGAGGTGATAGCTTTCTTAGAAGCGACCCTCTTATTTGACATGGCCCCCCTAATAAGTTGGTGCGCTCTCAAACGATCATCGGATGCGTTGTCTAAACCAGGTGCATTGTTGACGGCAGCCTCCAAGAAGGAAAACGCAGCGGGATCGGGTTCGGAGTCGTCGTCACTAGACCAACCCGACTCAGATGATAGTCGCGGGACAGCCCGTCTGTTTCGGGTCGCACTAGCCCGACGCGGCTCGGAATTTGCTATCTCGTTTGACATGTCGCTAGTTCGAGGACCACCAGGTGCTCGGCGGTGAGGCGAAGATGAGGCTATGGCAGAATCATGGTTAGACTAACCTTAATATACGAGCAAACATTATAAATAAATATTAGTAGCGTACCTGAGTTAGAGGATCCGTAGTCAGTCTGCCCACCCGAAGGAGTAGTTACGTCGGAAGTCGTAAAAGGTGATGGTATACTATGACGAGTAAATGGAGGATTGTGTTGGCTCGATTGCTGAGTGGGGTGCGAAGTTTGGGGAAATGTTGTTTGCAAGTTTTGGCTTGCAGTTGTAGGAGGCATAGAGGTGAGGGATGGTAAGGTTGTCCTCGAACCATGCACCGAGGCGTTATGCCCTGTTTCGCCCGCAATTCCACCCTGAGGTTGTTGCTGCTGTTGCTGTTGCTGTTGTTGTTGACCTTGATTAGAACCTGAGAAACCTCCCTGACTATGCTGAATAGGAGCCGTGCCTCCAATCCGCTGCAAACTGAGCAACGGCGCCCGGTAACGGAATTGGTGTGGGTTACTATGTGGGTTGTATAAGTTGGGCCCGTTCGATTGATATGGCGGCTGGTTCATTTGGCCAGTAGCCAGTGGTAAAATAGGCGGAGAAGGTTGGTAGAGAGGATCAGTGTTCCATCGGGCATGTGGTGGGGGTAAAGTTTGCCAAAAGTGAGGGTTGTTGTGCACCGGATCGAAGTAGTAATTAGGTCGAGACGGAAACATCTGTGGTGGATGTTGGTTGTGCTCAGCAGCAGCAGCCCTTAAGGCCGGACATGCAGAGCGAGCTGTGTGATCAACGTTCGCCGACGATGAGGACGGATTAGAATGCTCCGGGGGGTGCATCATGAAATCCATTGTCGAAGGGTCCATGCTATTATTTTTCTCTACTAAAGTATCAACCTTAGTTTTCAAAGACCGTCGCTCCCGTTCCTATATCCTTACGATTTCAGACGTGTGGTTGCCTTTGATGTCTTTGGTGGAGAGAGTGGGACGGATGAGAACCGGACGATAGACGGAGGGGTCGGTGGAATAGATAACCAGGGCTGATGGCCTTGGGATGCGGATATAAGTAAGATCACCAGGGGTTAAAGTCGGTACAGTTGGAACAGCCGACGATATTGAAGTATTTTCTTTTCCTTTCCACACGGTCCCAAAATGACTAATACTGTGTCAACCAGAAGATCCTACCTACTTGACACTTTTCGCAAGGTGCGTGGGGAGACGGCGATGACGGCATAGACAAGGACTGATGGTTTATGTGAAAGTAGAAAATTTGGTGTGGGATATCGTGCCTGCGACGAGTTTGTTTTCTCGGACCGTTCGATTATGTACCTGAGTCGTGACGGGTAAAAAAAAAATAACACTGTTGCCAAGTGACAGAGAGGTCGAACGTGTGTCAGGTCTTCAGGTCTTTGTGATCTGTTGCTACCTATGAAGACTTACGTCTTCCCCCCCCCCAAACGCTAACTAACCGGGCAAAGTGCTGTGTGTAAATAAGTAATAAGACTTGCTTGCAAACGCTTGCCTTTGACGATACTTAAATATCAAAATACTTAAGGGCGGAAATGGAGAATATTCGATCCTAGGTATTTGACGACAAATTGATAATAGGATATAGTTAGGTAGGAAGATGGTGAGAAGATATGTCGCCGATACGGCGAGAGGGTAGTTTAAAGACGGAGATTGAGATATGGAGGGGTTTTATTTAGATGCTAAAAGCTAAGAACCAACATCCGATCCGATGCATTCATGGGCCTACCTAGGATGTACTTTGGATCTATCTCCAGAGGAAGGTAGGTTCGGGAAAAACAACGAAGGAAGAGGGAAAAATGGATAAGTAGGAAGGTAGGAGGGAGACAAAAAAGGACAAAAAGAAGGCTGGCAGAAAACTGACTGTGCTTCAAATTAAGAAATGGTAGTAAGTGCGATGCAACAAATACGCACGCTCTTACCATATTAGATACAGATACAGATACAGATTACAGATACAGCAATACAGGAATACTTTTAATAACGATACAGCCATAGGTGCACTGTATGTATTCCGTAATATGTAATAGGAAAGTTAGGTTAAGTGGGAATGTCTATTACATGTATTGATGTATGTAGGTATGTATGTACGATACGATACCTATGATACGATACGACAAAGTATGTACCTATCTTTCATACCTTTCATACCTTTTCATACACTACATGCAACCAGTTCCAGTTTGACCTCAATGGATCCAATGGACCCAATAGACGATGAAGGTGGGTAGGTACTTACAAGCGTACTTCGTACATACACTACCTACATAACCTACATAAAATCCACCTTACATACATTACATCCATGACCTACCTTCAAGGTTACTACCTAGGTAGGCTGCTAGGTAGCCAGGGCTGTCAGGTAGGCCTACCTTGCCTGCCTACATCCTACATACGTAGTAACATAAGCTAACGTGCGTGAGTTGCAAGTTTTAGGTAGTTTGTGTTATCCAAGGGATTTCCATTGTCCACACAGGTTTTTTGGTTTTTTGGTTTTTTTTTTATCCATTACACGGCTCTCCAAGGAAGAAAAAAAAAATACCCCCCCATTCATACGTACCCATGTACTCTTAGACCTACCCAACCAGGTACTTGGTTGGCATGATATTATTGGTACTATGAACCGAAGGAGTCATTATCGCAAATCCCAAAATCAGCAGCAAAAAGATATAAAAGGATAAAAATGCCGTCGGACTTTGACACGTTATTCGCGGAGAGGCGACAACTAGCACTCCCAAATTCCAAGGTCCAAGCTCGGAGGAAAAAAAGGTCCAACGCAGACTCCGGGCCAGTCTGGACTGGCTTGGCTTGGCTTGCTCTAGGCGGACTCAGATGCTGACGGGTGCCTTCATCCGGCAGAAGAATAAATGCTCATGTAGAAGCCCTAGGTGTTTGGCATCAAATGCTATATAGAAACAGTTGACGTGTTGCAGTATCCATATATGTAGGGATTGTGCAACTGGTGCAACTGGTGCAACTGGCGTGCAACTGTGTTCCTCTACTGCATTGATTCGGGGACTCGGAACTGCGGTCGTTGGCTGCGGAGTGCTAGGATGATTGCTGCTTTGGTTTTCTGACAGGGAGATTTCAGAATTGGTTTCACATTGTGATTTTGGGTATTTGTACAGAAATTGCACATGTTACGGGCGTGCGGGTAAGATAAGAATATTGCGATAAGGTCTTATCAATATCAATCGTATAAAGTACCTGACTTCCTTTTCTTCTATCTGTCATTATGATAAAATATAAGATCAGATTTTATAGCATAACTACGCCAAGTACAAACCCAATTACCTACATAATAACAAAATAAAAATAAAAATAAATCTTCTTTTATTTCTCTTTGAGACTTTGAACTAGTTAATTATTGACTTTAAGCTCTTGAGTCTGTTGGACTTGTTGGACTTGTTGGCAGGGTTCCGTTCCGGCTATTGGGATAGCGCTTCTTTCCTTATTCGGTAATACCCGACTGAAGAGTGGAGATAGTCCGTATGATACGGTATAATAACTAGTACGGATAGACATTCATGCATTTAAAGTGAATATCGCTCAAAGTCGCTAATATGGCAACATGGAAATCTTCCGCATCATGTAGGTCTTTAAGTGGTAATTCAACTTTAGTCATTTCAATAGTCATTTTAACATGATCACAATCCTGAAATAACGAATCAATATTCAAGATTTCCATCCCATTTTACACAAGTGGTACCCTACTGACTCGTTCCCCAGCCACATGATGGGATCACCGCCCCGACTAAGCCAAGCTGTTTTTCATTGATCACTCATCGCAGATATTCGTCGTATTGCTATGGAACCCCTCATATCTCCCCTCCCCCCGTCCCATACCCTGCCCTGTGCTAGCAAGCGCAAGAGAGAGACAGCCCCCCAAGCCAGCGCCTCGCTGCAGCTAGGATGCTATTTTCACTTATAACCAACCAAAAAAGTACAGCACCGACAAGCAGCCCGTCACGGTATCAGCCGGTCGTGGAAGTGATCTTGTGGTCGAGTAACGATACAATGATGCTACCTACTATTACATAGGCCATCTTACCTACCTAGGGTCTAATGAATCATCCCAGTCCTTCGTGGATACCAGTTTAGGTAGCCCTGGCCGCCAATACCGCAACTTGTAAAAAGAAGCCTGCTCCCTTCCGTCTGCCTCAAGCACGTCTTGACTTGATCTATCGTCTCTTACATCCTTGTCTATGAGCAGATAGACTAACACGCACTAAGCATTTAATGCTTACAAGTCATACCCTTCTGTCGCAAAGATGTGCCAGTCTAACACGGTCCAGAAAAGTTCTATATATGACGAGGATAGGAGCATTACACGCAACAATACAGGACGCCCCACGACTATGAGATTATGAGATTATGAGCAAGCAGCGCGGTTTGTGCGGCGAAATAGTAAGTAGGTTTTCGGACCTAGAGGGTTCGAAGATGGTAACATCATCACCAACACCAGTTTCAAGAGGGGTCCGCATCAGTCCGAAAGACATGTACTATTTTACGGAGTATTCAACACGGTTCCGTGCGAGCTCCAACCACGCAGATCACACGCCTGCATAGATGATTCTGCGGACACACACATATCGGTCCGCCGTTCACTATCCACCCTAAAGCTACCCCACGGAACATTTACTATTATGTAGGCCACTAAATAGGTCAACGACGTTCTCCATATCGGCGACCTAAAAAAACGACTATGAATTACTACGTGCAGATAGACCACTGGTAGTAGTTTAGCTAGCGATCTCCATAAAGCGTTGGGGCGCTTCTTCCCTTATCTTGTACTCCGAGAACAGGCTCATTTGATAGCCTGACTTATATTACCCTGTTCTCACTCATACCTTATACCGCCTAGGTTAGCCAAGTTCTTGTCTGCGACTGTTGCAAGGAATTGCGAGCCCGCCTATCCGTCAAGACACCGCTCAGGTAACCTAGCCTGCATCATCACATCACGCTGAC